TAATCATTCATTTTCCTTCAGCTTAGTCTCTTTATTCATCAGGGGTCGCCAGAGCGGAATGAACCACCAACTTATCCAGCATATGTTTTACATAGTGGATGCCCTTCCAGCTGCAACCTATCACTGGGAAACACCCATAAACGTAGTTTAAGAAAATTTCCTGATTTATCAGGTGTTGCCACTGTGGAATGAACCACCAACTACTCTGGCATATGTTTACCTCAGCGGATGCCCCTTTTTAATAAAATACAAATTTTTTTTTTCGAAAAGGAATGTTGAATGCTACTTATTTATTTTATTTGAGGAAAACTGTTTATACAGGGGTGACACGGTGGCCCAGAAAGAAGGTCGCTGGTTCGAGCCTCGAGGCTAGGCCAGTTGGCATTTCTGTGTGGAGTTTGCATGTTCTCCCTGTGTTTGCATGGGTTTCCTCCTGGTGCTTCGGGTTCCCCCACAGTCCAAAGTCATGTACTTTACATGTGAATTGGGTAAGCTAAATATGCCGTAGTGTATGTATGTGAATGAGTGTGTATGGATGTTTCCCAGTGATGGGTTGCAGCTGGAAGAGCATGTGGTGCGTAAAACATATGCTGGATAAGTTTGCAGTTCATTCAAATATCAAATTTATTAATTAATTTACTCGTACTTTTGTGTATTTGAGTACATCAAGTGAACCCCCCCCCCCCTCCCCACCACCCCCAACGACTTCTCAAAAATAACATACACCAACCATCATTCTCATTTTGGCCCCTGTATGTGTTAAAGAAATTATTTACTCAGAAGGTATTAATTAATTTTTTTATAATTCAGTTAATTTCTGTGTAAATACATATGTATTTGTAATGGTGTTGAAGTTAACTTTAATCAAGTATGGTTTCTATCCATAACAAAAATGCTGATTTTGTCAACTCTTGTGTATTGTTTAAATTTACTACACTATCGTTGTGTTAGAAGCTGGTTTAGCCACCAACATGTTCAACAGTAAAAATTTGACCTCTTCCCAACAAGGAAAAACTAGCAAAAATCAAGATTACATGCTTATTTGCAATTAAAATATGTCATTATAATGAAAGTCAGTGGGGCAAAAACAGCCCCCAACATAACAAAATGGTAGTCAATTTGCCCAGAGTGTATTGTTGAGTTTTTCAAAGCATTTTCCCAAAATACAGTTGAAGTCAGAATTATTACCCCCCCCTGAATTATTAGCGCCCCTGTTTATTTTTTTCACCCATTTCTGTTTAATGGAGGGAAGATTTCTTCAACACATTTCTAAACATAATAGTTTTAATAACTCACGGATTTATTTTATCTTTGCCATGATGACAGTAAATAATATTTGACTAGATATTTTTCAAGACACTTCTATACAGCTTAAAGTGACATTTAAAGGCTTAACTAGGTTAATTAGGTTAACTAGGCAGGTTAGGGTAATTAGGCAAGTTATTGTATAACGATGATTTGTTCTGTATACTATTGAAAAAAATAGCTTAAAGGGGCTAATAATTTTGTCCCAAAAATGTTTTTAAAAAAAATTAAAACTGCCTTTATTCTAGCCAAAATAAAACAAAAAAGACTTTCTCCAGAAGAAAAAATATTATCAGACATACTGTGAAAATTTCCTTGCTCTGTTAAACATATTTGGGAAATATTTTAAAAAAATAAAATCAAAAGGGGGCTAATAATTTTGATTTTACACTATATGTTTAAATATGATGTCACCAAAAAAAACTTCCAGTTGCTGAAGCACAAAGAAAATTATGGCTAAATTAAGCCTCAAAATCAACTCAGACTGGATGAAAACATCCCCAACAGCACACAAGGGTTAAACCTATAAAGGTATAGTGTCATATCATGAAACGCATTTGTAATTTAATCAAGTAGCAATTTTGATTTCTTGTTTAAGACTAGAGGTGGCTTAAGGAAAATACTTTTTCACAGGTGACTTTCTTTGTTTAACTAATTAAAGGATTATTTTTCAAAATCATCTTTATTAATATTGTTTTAGAATCTCTGCTCTGTGAAATACTTCATTTATTTGGTCGATATGGCCATGAAGTCATAAAGCCATTAAATATGTCTCCTACCAATGAGAGTTTGTGATTTTGAATGCAGCCCATGAGTCTGCAGGGTAATTATTTTTCAGATTTAGTGAAAAATTCTAGCCATGTAATGTCTCAGCACTCGTCTCTTTATGCTTTAATGATGACAACACTTAAGCTTTTATGATTTTCTCCGATTATAAGGATTGATTATAACTAAAAACTCTTCTGATGTCTTTCACAGATGTGAGTTGGATGACAAAACTGAACAAACTTGTAGCAGTAGACCATTGCCAATGTGTGCAATTGAGTCACATGCCTAGACATGGACACTTGCTAGTGGACATCAGTTCCAGTAAGTCAACGTTTTATCGTAGCCAGCAGCTATTTCCCTTTCTTCGTCGTGACTTCCAGGATCATCATAGACTCGACACAAACGTGCACCGGCAACATTGCATACTTTCCACCCATAAAAAAGCACAAGTCATGATGGGTAAGCTGTGTGCCCAGAATCTCTCTGCTCACTTTCCATTTTATTCAGCGTGGAGGATAAATCTTAAGTTTAAGCAAATTTAAAAACATTAGGTCCCAGAGAAAGCACAGCACTCTTGGTAAGAGTATTTTCAGGAGTGCACCAAAGACAACATGAAACAGAAATGCCCACAGAACATTAGTTAGGTTACTGCCATTCAAGTTGAAAAAAACGTATTGCAAATAAAATAAATATATATTAGTAGTAATTGTTTTATATATATATATATATATATATATATATATATATATATATATATATATATATATATATATATATTATATATATATATATATATATATATATATATATATATGAACAATATCACACTCATAGCAGTGCAATACGGCTGTATATCAGTACTGGTGGCAGATGTACTGTAGGCAGATGGCATTGCCTTAGTGTCCCACCAGTGTCAATATACAGACAATATACTGCAATGAGTGTGATACTGCATTTATACAACAGTTTGACGGCATAATCCTGTATATAATACCGAAACGAGGAACTACTTTCGTCCGCCATTTATTCACATCTGCAGCTGACTTAAGAACAGCAGAAACCATTGAGTTTTATAATGATTTGATAAGCTGTAGTTTAAAGTTACGCTGGGGTTTTTTCTCCACTAAAGGCTTATTATGTTGTCTTTGTCGCCATGTTGTGGATGCTAATGGCCGCCGATGCGATGTCTCTCAGAAATTATGAATATTTAAAATAAGCACTATCCTTATAAATAAACTGTGTAGTTACAATCTAAACAGCAACATTCTTGGCTAAAAAAAACTCAGAAGTACATCATGTTGTCCAACAGATGCAATATTTGTCAAACTGTAGTGTATTCTCTGCTTGTCGCTGTATGTGGGCGGAGTACTACACAGGTGAAGGTAAAGAGGCTGGAGGAGTGCTGTTATTTGCAGAATATAACAGCACTTGGCTATCAGCCAATCAGATTCAAGATCCAAACAGAACTGTTTTGTGTGTGTGTGTGTGTGTGTGTGTGTGTGTATGTGTGCGTGTAATTATTATTGAAATATATTAATTATATTAAGTTTCACAACTTGGGAAAATTAAAAAATGGATTAAGATGAATTGATAATTAATTTACTAAAAATAAAAACAATTGCAAAAAATATTGATATTTTAAAATTAGTCATTAAAATAAATTATTAATTGTTGAATATTCTACTGTATCTTAAATAATGTCATTTTTATAAGCTTTGCACTGGGTAGTTAAAGGTCCCCGGTAACTAACTAAAAATTTATCTAAGGGTTTTTTTTGTTACTTTTTTTTTTTTTTTTTGCACAAACAAACAAACAAAATACAAACAAAGAAACAAAGCAACAACTAAATAACTATTTACTTTAGGTAATATTATTAAAATCAAATGTTGTATTTTTTACCTTTAAAATTAATGTTATCTAAATTCCATAAATATTTATATTTCATAAGTTTATATATATATATATATATATATATATATATATATATATATATATATATATATATATATATATATATACCATAAGTATTTAATTTTAGTTTTGCAAATGGAATATTTTTGTGAATTTTGACACTTTTCACAGATTTTTAAAAAAAAAAAGCTACCATTGTCTAAATTAAATATTATTTTATAAATTGTATTAAAATAATTTTCTTTATGTCAAATTTTCTTTGTGTGTGTGTGTGTGTGTGTGTGTGTTTATATACACCCATCACAAATTTCTCATTTAAATTAATATTTTCTACAGGACGCTTTACAATATTATATTTGTGCATAAACATTAAATTAGTGAGTAATGAAGGCAAATCTGGAGCTCATCTAGCAAAATAATTTACAATAACGGTTCAAAAATTATTAGCTCAAATTTATATGTTAAGGGAAAATATTAAATAATTAATAACAGCAAAAATCAAGAGAAACAAAAAATAGATAGAATAGAATTTTGTTGAAATATTGTAGTTTGTAATTTTGAACATAAATACATTTTCTTTCCATTTATAAAGATGTTCTGTGACTAAAATATTATTTTAATAAATATATCGGTTTAATAAATCTGTTTTGTTTAAATGCACCATTATATATTACCCATATTCACTGAGAAATGGATACAAATATTCATTTTCTACATGGGGTGTACTCATTTATGCTGAGCACTATATATATATATATATATATATATATATATATATATATATATATATATAAACAAAACTTGTTCAGCTCTGAATAAATGTGAACTCTATTACCTGCGGGTTCATGACTGCGCAGGTGATGCTTGAGTTTTGCCAGATTTCCCGACAGTGACGCAGAGACGGGAGAGGGTGAGAGAACCTCATAAAGCCCCCAAACACACACACACACACACACACACTCTCTCTCTCTCTCTCTCTCTCTCTCTCTCTCCTGGATAAAACCCCCCTTTAAAAGAGCACTCGTCCCACATCAGCTGGACGGCGGAGCTGCAGTACTGTACAGTCAGGGGAAGCAGCCGAAATACAGTCAAAGCCAGAAGCTGCTCTCCATAACGCGGGTGAAAATGACCCGTGAGTCAGTAAAGAGACTCCTGCTGCTGCTGTGCATCGGCGGATCTGTCCACTGCATGCCACAATCCGCAGGGAAAAGTAAAAGACAAGCCCAGCAGCAGCAAATCCACCTGGACACAGTTTACGAAGAGGCCAGGAGTTTAGCCATCCACGAAAGTAAGTTCATCGACTTTTTTATATGCAGAAAAAATACAAACATTTCATAGCACATCTGAAATTGAATGTCTTTATGTGAGCACAAGAGGACAGTTCGCGGTTTAAGTGAGATATAGTGTCATATAATTATTGTTTTAGTATTTAATGTCGTTTTTTTACGTCCCTTCAGGTGGCTGTAATGACAACGGTCGTGTTTACAGGATGAACGATGAGTGGGAGCGGCCCTACATGGACAGCACTCTCAAGTGCACTTGTGAGGGAGCTTCAGGGGTCAAGTGTAGATCCAAACCTGCAGGTGAGCGCTTATGCGTTTATAATTCGTGCTCGTTTATTATTATTTTGAGATTGTATTCATTATGACAACGTTTAATAAATGCTTTCCTGTTATGCGTATTAAGTACCTATATAGTCATTAAAAAGTTATCTGGTCAAATTCTGTCAGCAATATAAAGCCTTTGGTTATAACATATATAATTTTTTGTACATGACAAAATGTCTTATGTCAATATCCATGTAAACCATTTGGCTTTAAACAAGTTACATTTGGTGTAATTGAAGGATGTACATAGCTTTACCTGGTTAATAATCTTTTATGCTGTGCTAAATTCTTTCATAAATGTAATTTATTTTTATTTTTTTGCAGTTTATTAATGAACTTGCTATTATAGTACTTTGTTAAATTATAAAGCTACATTATACGTCAAATTTTGTACTCTAGTATAGCATATTCACAATCCTTTGAATGTTCATATTGTATAAAATAAACGTTCATTTATTTCATTTTTTAAATTCTCCTTTGTTTCATTTGTATATTTTTCAGAACAAAAAATAAAAAAAACATATTTAAGCTTTGCATATTATTTTCGCATTTCAACATTCTTATCTTATAAAAAAATTATAATTAATACTCGTTAACTAAAACCATTTATATTGTATCTGAACAGCTTTTTTATAAAATTATTGCATGTAGAAAAAATAAACCACACCAGAATTTTAAGCTGCAATTTTGGCTCAAATATTTTATCATTTATGTAATGTATAAGAACAATGTAAGAATTATGAGAATTCATAGTTAAATGATGACTTTTTGATTGCTAAAAAAACAAGCCAAATGAAGGCAATGCAACTACAATAGTCAACATTTGAAGTATATCAAAAAAGGCAAGGATGGGTGAAAAATGAATGTTCTTTAATAGTTTTAGGACAACTTTGATGAAAGATTTTGATATAAAAAAGTACTACTATATATAAAGAAAAAAAATCCAACCATAATAAATGAATAAATTGAAAATGGCCAGTACACAAATTGTATAACTTTGATTATATATATTTTTTATAATTATAATAATAATAATGTGTTTCGATGGTCTTAAAGCATTTAAAAAGTTTTATTCCCTGACAATTTTTTAAAATGAAAATTTTATGCAACTTATCTGTGTCAAAAAGATCCAAATGCATTCTAAAGTTAAAACAGTTAATTTATAGTTTAAATGTTCATTCATAAAATTAACTTTTTTATCTATTTTTTGCCAAATGAAGGCAATACAACTACAGTAGTCAAACAAAATAAACAAATAGCTTAAAAATTACCAGTACACAAAATGTATAACTGGTTATATCTCTTAAAAAATATAATAAGAACATTAATAATAAAAATAATAATAATAATAAATGTAAAATTTACAAATAAAAAGTTATTTTGAGGGTCTTAAAGTATTTAAAAAGTTGTATCACCTCAAAGATTTTGTTTATTATATTTTTATGTTTCATCTGGGTCAAAAAGATCCAAATGCATTATAAAATTTAGGCAATTCATTTATAAATATAATGTTCTTTTTTTTACAGCTGAGGAGTCATGCTATGATAAATTCAACGCACGTTCCTACCGAGTCGGAGAGACCTACGAGCGACCAAAGGATAACATGATATGGGACTGTACATGTATTGGGTCAGGCAAGGGCAAAATTAGCTGCACCATTGCAAGTAAGTAAAAGACCAAAAAATTAATAGCACATGAAGGTTTTTCCCATTACTAAACTGATCCATTTTTGCCATTTTACAGATCGCTGCCATGAAGGGGGGAATTCATACAGAATTGGGGACACCTGGACACGACCACACGACACTGGAGACTACATGCTTGAATGTGTTTGCCTTGGCAATGGAAAGGGAGAGTGGACTTGTAAACCTGTTGGTGAGTCAATGTTTATCTGTACATTTGCCTTTAGCCTAATGTGAATGTTGAATTCTCTTAAAAATAATTTGTGTCTAGTTAAATGGTGAGATTTATTTTTTTTCATTTAATTTTTTTTGTTTGTTTTAATAACTAGTTTCTTTTGTCTTTGCCTTGATGACAGTGTATAATATTGTTCTACCTATTTTGCAAGATGATAATTCGATACTAAAATTGGCCTGAAGTGTAATTAAAAGGCTTAACTGGGTTATTGTGTTAAGATATGTTAGGATAATTAGACAAGTTAGTGGATAACATTGCTTTGTTCTGTAGCCAATAAATTAAATAATAGTTTTGACATTAAAATTGTCTTAAAAACTTATTTTATTCCTGCCAAAGTAAAAAAAAAAAAAATCTGTAGAGCAGTTTCCCAACCCTGTTTCTGGAGGCACACCAACAGTACATATTTTGGATGTCTCTCTTATTTGACCCATTAACTTCAGGATTTATAGTTTTTTTATGTTCTGATGAGTTGATTCAGGTGTGTTTGACTGGGATGAGGTTGAAAATGTTAGAGGTGGGCAAAGCGAGGCTTCATGAAACACTGAAACAGTCGAAGCAAATGTGTCGAAGCTTCGAAACATTTTGAAACCCCACTCTACAGTAAAACCTAGTGGTCATTATTTATGTATTGCTCTGGTAAAGCTTCAGCAAAGAAACAGTCACGAAAATTGAGTTATTAAACCCCACTTTGTAGAGCTGAAGTTTCAAGTGAATTAGTGGAGGGGAGAGAGCTCCAGACTAGCATACAGAGATGATGGGTTCGAATCCAGGGAGATGCAGATGTTTTTAAATGCTCTGTTCTTGTAACATGTTAAGTTTTAACATTGGTCTGACATCTGAATGAACACTTTGTGAATAAATATGTTTTAAAACAATAACATTATAAAAATACATTAAGTTATAATTTCAGAATATTTGTAGAAGTCTGTATTTGAACCTGGGCTATTTGCAGCACAGTAACTTTCAGCACATGAAAATATAATATTATATAATGTTATAATGTTCATAGTACATCCATCCCATCTGTAAATATCACCATAGTTTTCTATAACTGCCCTTTATAACTTATTCCTGTATCCTGCACTTGCTGGTATTGCACTGCTGGTTAGACCTAAACTGCATTTCGTTGCATTGTACTTGTACATGTGTAATGACAATAAAGTTGAATCTAATCTAATCTAATGAGTAGTCCACTGGGCTACATGAGATAGAGGGTATTTTTCTGACCCAGCCACTCAAACACAGCTTCGCCAGGTCTCGAAACACTTCTGAAATGTCCGAGGCTTTGAATCACTTTAGTCACGTAACCTGTGTGTTTCGAATCACCTTAGTCACGTGACTTGGGTGTTTCGGATCATGCTTCAGTGCAGTGTTTCGAAACACTTGCACTTCGGGATCTCGATACTGTGTCGAAATGTCAGTATCATGTCAGCCATCCCTACAAAATGAGTACTGGTGGTGTGCCTTCAGGAACAGGGTTGGGAAACACTGCTGTAGAGAATTGAAAAAATACTGCTCAAGGGGGTTAACGATATTGACCTTAAAATGGTTTTAATAAAATTAAAAGGTGCTTTTATTCTAGCCAAAATAAAACAAATAAGACTTTCTCCAGAAGGAGAGATATTATACGAAACTCTGTGGAAATTTCCTTGATCTGTTAAACATGACTTGGGAAAAATATTTTTAAAAGAATAGGGTATATGCCGAGCTAGTGCTGTTCCCTTGCTGATACACTTCCGGTGACCTGTTATTGTGAACTTTTTTCCATTTTATACGGTTCCATATAACGCTTCAATGTTGTAATGTCATTAAAATACATTCAGTTAAATAAACTTTAGCATTTATTTAGTTGCTCAAGCGTAAAGCGAGACAAAAAGCTGTTTACTCGCACGCGCCCGTCAGAATCGGCAGGCTAACGCAGAAGTTCCATTGAATATACTGGGGTAAAATAAATGCTCATATAAATATATGGCAGGGGAAATGTAATTTAATGCAGTGCTTCTTGTACAATCTGAGACCCACTTTAAATCAGATGTCACTCAGCTAGTGGAGATCGCTGATTTTTAAAGAAAACAGACCTAAAACGCACCTGATTTTGCATTGGCATTCAATTCGCCGGAAGCGCTTAACCCAGGTTACTGGCAAATTAAAAGTCCTATTAGCATGCTCCGGCATATACCCCATTCAAATATTACTGGGAGGCTAATAAAGTATTAAGGTTCAACAGTATTTAATGTTTGACCTGGTAAATTAGTCCTATTTGTTGCTTGGTTGGTTGGTTGGTTTATTTGTTGAGATTGGTTTTGCCTACTAACCATGAAGCTGCACGCATGTGACTCGGTTTTTGGAAATTTGGCACACCACACCCAAGTGGAAAGAACAAGATGCTAAAGTGGCTGTATCTTCACAGCGGAGCGTTGCTATGATGACTCACTGGGATCTTCATATGTGGTTGGTCAGACATGGCAGAAACCATATCAAGGTTGGATGATCGTGGACTGCACATGTTTGGGAGAGGGAAACGGACGCATCACCTGCACCTCCAGAAGTAAGTGCATGTCTTTATACAACATTATTTGTGACTTCTTTGTTGCTAAGGAAGATTTTTTCCCCAAGCACTGCATTTTCCCATTCCTCTTTCATGACTTTGTAGCTATTTGCACAGCACACCCTTATTAAAACAAAGCTGCAAGCTTCCTATGGCTGGATGGGAGTATGCACATGGAAAATTACAGCATGCACTTTCCAGGGCTATTGAAGTTAACGTCTTGAGTGAGAGGAAGTCAAGTGTGTGAATAAACACCATCAGGATCTCGGCTTCCTTTAACTGTTCTGCCTTCAAAGTGTTAGCAAACACCTCATTATGGTCATAAATAAAGACACCCTACTGAAGTGTGATGTTTGGAAGCGTTTCCCAAACAAGTGTGACCAGTGAAATTGGGGTGGGGTGAATGAATGTGAAGTGCTTTAATAAAAAGTCTTGACTACATGCTTGACGCGTTTCATTTGTCTTCTCCAGACCGCTGCAATGACCAGGACACCAGAACCTCATACCGTATTGGTGAAACCTGGAGCAAAATTGACTCCAGCGGACACACTCTGCAGTGTCTTTGCACAGGGAACGGTCGTGGGGAGTGGAAGTGTGACAGACATGCTGCTTCCCATGTAATTCCTGCCATTGGTAAGTGTATTAAATCCGCTGTCAGATAGCAATGGATGGAAATAACTTAGATTGGCATTGCATTACTTCATTTAAATTCTTCTGTTTTTATTTGGTTATTTGGCTCAATTCAATACAAAAAAATTATATTTGGGAAGTTTATTAATAAACTAATTTCGAGAGCATCCCATTTATGATTGCTTGCGGCTTGCAATTTATGATTCTCCAATCAGACGATTTCTAAGCCACTATAAATACTCCAAGTTTCATATAACAGTCATCTTCGTTTTAAAGAATCCCCCCTTCCACCCCTACTCCTCATTTTTCTTAGATTAAAACTATTGCCTCGCAGCAAGAATGTCACTGGTTCTAGTCCTTACCAAGCCAGCCGACAATTCTGTGTGGAGTTTACACGTTCTCCCCATGCTCACGTGGGTTATTTGCCATATCTTCAGACAATGTATGTCTGTTGTCTTTGTGACTAGGTACTGGATCTGCAGTGACTCACAGAGTTACACCAGTGATGAACCAAGTCAACGTCCTGAATGAACTTATCGAAGAGGGCAACTGCAAGACCGATTCTGGGGTGTCCTATTACAATGGCATGAGCTGGATCAGAACTCAGGGCACCAAGGAGATGCTGTGCACTTGTGTTGGAGGAGGAATCAGCTGCGAGGAGCAAGGTGACATTATTACTTATTCCTTGGGAGTCAAACCCATGACCTTCATTTAATAATTGTTATGCTCTACCGTTTAAGCAGGTGGCAGGTCATGAAACCCCTCCATTTTCGATGATTAAAACACTGTGGTGCCATTAATCTCTTTAAATTTTCACAGACGGACAGTCCCAGGTATATGGTGGTAACTCTGGTGGGCAGCCATGTGTGTTCCCCTTTGTTTTTAGTGGAAACACCCACTACTCCTGCATCTCCGAGGGTCGATCTGATGGGCAGCTATGGTGCAGTACCACCTCTGATTATGACAGCGATGGCTTGTACTCATTCTGTACCCAGAAGAATCGTAAGTGCATCTCAGAGCCTCTTTTGACCAAGAAAATATCGTAACGGTATACCAAAATAAATCAGTTTCTTGGTCTTTTCGATAGGGTGTGAATTAGTGGATCAAGTGCTTACCATTTGTTTTTGTTTTTTTTGACTGATTTGATTTTCAGTGCTTGTGACAACCCGTGGAGGAAACTCGAACGGTGCTCTTTGCCAATTCCCCTTCAAGTATAATGGACGCAACTACACCGATTGCACAGCCGAGGGGCGTCGTGATGGCATGAAGTGGTGCGGTACCACTGCTGACTATGACAGAGAGCAGAAATACGGTTTCTGTCCCATGGCTGGTAAGCATGTTTAAAGGTATAGATCAGCTTTTCTGCTAGGCAGTTCCTCTAGAGCAGCAAGTTCGCCCAAATATGAAAATTACCTCACTATTTATTCAGTACTCATGTGGTTTTAAAATGTTCAAGATTACCCAGCAAGCATGCTGCTTTTTAAAAGATGTCTAATAGACGTCTAAACATAGTCATCTTGGCTAAAACAAGGCTAAATTTGAGCTGTCAAAAAAATCTAAAATACATCTAAATAGTTTCGTCAATTTTACGGAAAGAGAAGTTGTAAGATGACCAGTTATTTGCTGGAATGCTGCGCTGTGTGAATATAGAAGGAAGATTGACAGAAAGAGCGCGTTCTTGCTTAGAACATGTTGACGTGAGACGTCTACCCCACCCAATCAGAACATTCAGACACATTCACATCCGCGCTGTTTATGAAAATAAAAGCCCTCGGCTACTTTTCCAGACAAATTTACTGTAGCTGCTAGTCGTTGATCAGATAACGTTTCTATGTTCACTCCTAATGCCAACTGTGTAAAAAAATATCTATAAAATGCTTATGATAAACCGCTGTTTGTTTGAGAGGGGTCTGGATGCAGACCTGGTGCAGTGCAATCTGAGCTACATCCAATGCTTTTTAATGAGCTCATCTAACCCCATCCCTTACCCGTCACAGTGACGTCACTCACTGCATTGAGTGCATTGTGTCTGAGATTGCATCGCTGAGTGATGCAATCTCAGCTTGCATCATAAAGGCTGCATCCAGATTGCTTTGTTTACCTCAAAGCTCTGCTTGACGCGTGGGCACGTAAAGTGCAGGAGTGCTCCGGTGAGCGCCAGCACACACACACATTACATACATCTCGACATACAAAAGGGTTTCTCCATATGTTTTAATGGAAGTTGTTCACAATACTGATCCATCCACAGAATTTGTAATGTAGTCAAATGTGTAAACATTTAGTTGCGGTTCGCGCATCTGCCTTTGGATGACTCTGGAATAAGCTGCATAATTGCTAAAGCTTTAAGTAAAAGTGAAACTATCAAGCCGGATGCCTATTATGTTTACAAATACAATCGCAGCCGTTTAGAGCTCATTTCTGGTTAAAGATGTCAGAATTTACCCGTATTTTGGAATGGATGTGTGAATAATCTTTTCCCAAAAAATTCCGGAACGTCTTTGCCTGTGTGAACAACGCTTTTTTTTTTATTTACCAGTGAAGTCGTTCCGGAAATTTTCCGAATATTTACGGTGTCACTGTGTGAAAGTGGCTAAAGTCCACCATTCTCCAATTCTCCTACAGCTCTCCTGACAAAAATGCCTGCTGCACACAAACAGTTTGACTGCATCGGTGGCTCTGACAGCATCGCGGAGAAAGCCATGCAACAAACTCTGTGGATCACGAAAGCAAACACATACAAGCCTTCATGAATGGCTTAAAACTGCGTGTCGTGCCCTGTCTCGCAGCATGGCGGGTCTGTGGTCAGTCCTTATCAGTCTGTCATCGCATTAGTGCAGTCATGAATAATTAAAAAGCAGGGTCTTCTCATAGGATAAGAAAACTCAGTCCATGAATAATAATGAGAAACCGACGTGTCATCACTTCCCTAGCAGATTCGCACTACGTCACCGATTTTAATCCCGCCCCAATAATGATTTTAAACCCAGAAGATGAAATTAGCTGACTCGGCACACACACATCTGTTAATTTTTTTTAAAAAGTACTCGAGGGTGTCTTAAACCTTTAACAGTTAATGGAGAAAACAATTAATAATGGACATTATACTGTTATTATACTGTAAAAACTAAAAGATTACAGCCCTAACCTATATACAATCACTTAATCTCATTCAAAACACATTTATATGGTATTCATGTGCCTAATCTGCCAGTGGTGCTGTAATGGTGGGTTATTATCTTTTAAATTTACTGTTTCTTTTTAATGCATTCGGCTGAAGTCTGGTTTTATAGACATTAATAGCTGTTTTGGCCTTAATTGGTCATTTATGTGCTTGGTCCGTGACCTGCAAATGAGCTCTCAAGCTGTATTTAAGAGCCATTAAGGGAGCTGGAGTTTTTAAGCTCATGTAATGTGCTGCTGATTTGTGACTGGATCTATAGGGTCCGCCCTTGTCAGGGTTTTAGGCCTGGCTCTCGTCCAGGCCTGACATTTGTTTTGGCTTAGTTCCAAAGAGAACGAAACGAGCAGAACATGCATTGAAGATTGGCGTCCTTGTTTTAAATATTTATAATCATAAATGATATTCCTTCATCTTTATACAGCTCACGAGGAAGTCTGCACTGTTAATGATGTCATGTACCGAGTCGGTGACGAGTGGGACAAGCGCCATGATACTCTTGGTCACATGATGCGCTGTACGTGCCAGGGAAATGGACGTGGAGAGTGGAACTGCATTTCTCACACACAGCTCAAAGGTCATCCATGTTATAAAATACACTTTCTATAAAGAGTTTTTGGTGTTTGTGTTAAATATAATTTACAAAAAGAGTCTTAAAGTGAAAGCAATTTACTCACCATCCACTTGCTCCAAACCTGTTGGAGTTTCTTTCTTTTATTGAACACAAAATAAGATATTTTGAATAATGTATCCATTGGTTTTGATAGTATTTATTTCCTACTAAAGAATGCAAATTGCTACCAGTAACTACCATTTTTTCTAAATATCTTCTTTTGGTATGAATCTCATGAAGGTTTGGAACCACTTGGAGTAAACTGTAATGTATTTTTGGGGGGTGAACTATCCCTGTAACTTGTTTAATATGATATCAAACCATGATTGTTAGTAATATTTAATAGATCTCCTTTGATATTTAAACTATTGTTATACTGAATGAAATTTTACTGTCTCTTTTAAAAAATAATACAATAACAACATCTCTCTTAATGTTTCCCAGTATTGGGTTGCGGCTGGAGGGGCATCCGCTGCGTAAAATATGTGCTGGAATAGTTGGTGGTTCATTCCACTGTGGCGACCCCTGATAAATAAGGCACTAAGCCGAAGTAAAATGAATGAATGAATCTCCTAATGCTTCTATTCTTTTTTGACATCGTAAAGTTGCTCAAATAATTTTTGCCCATTTCAGACCAGTGTGTTGTGAATGGACAGACGTATGATGTGAACGAGACGTTTGATAAGCGCCATGACCAGGGCTACATGATGAACTGCACGTGCTTTGGCCAAGGCCGTGGTCGCTGGAAATGTGATGCCATTGGTAAGCAATTGCTCTCTAGTACCGAGTTCACACTGCAGGATTGTCAAAGTAGTCGTGTCACAGACGTTTTCAGACTGCTTGACTAATTGGGGCAGCTTTTTGTCTGTGCTGTGTTTACACTGCAAGATGGATCGGCAACGGGGTTTCACACTGCATGACTTTACAATAGGAAGAATAGCCGACAACTTTGTCTCTGTCCGCAAACTACGTCTCACAACCAAACACATGTGAGAAGGGACATGAAAACAACATGAGATCATGTATTATATCTTTTGCTATTAACTACACGATAAGAAAGAAGCCTTTAGTGGGGTAGAAAATGTACTGATTTTGCTCACCTGGGGAAGGGAATTCGCAATTTCTCTCGACCTGGTTGTGGTATTGCTCAGATGACATGTCAAAACAGACATGGGTGCTCCTAATTTTCACAATTTTTTTCTTCATTTCTTGGGTCCATATAGACAGAAAATAAGCGCTTTTAACTTCACCCTCAACCTCCCGCTGGCCTGCAAATACCCATACTAGTGGATGCTGCTCTCTCATTGGCTGTAGGTGATCCCCAATGTTATTTTCAATCAGAACACATTTCACATAGCATGATTTAGCATGCCAAATATCTGACGGGTGTCAGCGACTCATTGGTGATTCTCTCAGATGACATCTTTGAATACCAGGGTTGGCCGATAGACATCACGATCCTCAGCCCCGCCCCCAGCAGCAGCAACCTGCTCGAGCAAAATACACACTTAGACCCCGTTTACACTAAGACATCTTAGTGCAGCATACGCGCACGTCAGAGCTCCAGCAGTCAGCGGGTGCTTTGAGCAAAAAACCCCAGAGAGTAGTGCACGTCGGACAGTTTATCAAGGATGTACTGCTGGACCGCATCTCACTATAGTTTTAAAACATGATATTTCATTCATCTTGTCTCTATTTATCGACTCTTCGGTCTTTTGAATCTATCAGGTAACGTATCACAGCATCAGTACACTGCTTCAGTCTTTCGCTTTCACGCTTGTACTTAGTAATTCTAGTGAAAACCTCAGGTACTGTTGGTTGGTTGCTGTTGGTTGTGAACCTTTTTTTTACAAAGAACTTGTGGGTCAGGTAGTTTAAATGGTGGGCTACAAATACTTTATTTGTTATGAATTAATTAATTATTCAAAAATAATTAATTCACCCCTGCCTATGACAATGATGCCATTGTCCATCGCGATGTTTCACATTAGACATCGTATGATGCCAAATTGGTCAACATTGCCCCACCCTAGTTCACACTGTGTGATTGTTACATGAACGAGCACCGATTTTCCTGCGATTTCAGGCTTTTGTCTGCGATTTCTCAAAATCGGTGCTAAAATCATGCAGTCTGGACTCGGCCTAATGTTGTTGCCATGTTCAGTCTTTTGTTCGGTTTTCTTTTTCTAACCTTTCTCTCAAAAGGTTAGAACTTCCCTTTATAAATTCCACGCATGTAACTGTATGAATGGTCCATATTTCCTTCAATTCAAATGAAAGCGGCTTGATTTAGACAATAGCTTTTTGTAAACACGTCAGAGTTCTAATGAAAGAAAGATTATTTTTATTTCGTCTACTCACGCCATTTATGCTTTCTCTTTAGACCAGTGCCAGGAGCCTGAGACCAAGGTGTTCTACCAGATTGGCCAAACATGGAATAAAGTCATCCAAGGCACCCCATACAGATGTTCCTGCTATGGTAATGGCATTGGAGAAATGGCCTGTGAGCCTCTGCAGTCTACTGGTAAGAAATCTCACAAAAAATTAAAAAATTATATTAAAAAGTAAAACAAGGGCCATCTGTTGATGCCAACACTTCTACTCCTCCAGTTAGCCTTCTCTAACTTCACCTGATTAGGCATGCTTGTTTTCCTTTTAAAAAGTCTCAAATGGTCCCTCTAAAAGAGCAGTCTCAATGTTTACCAATTGACAAACGCTTTGAATTCTAGCAAATGTAGATTAGCCTCCATCTACCCTCTCTACAGGGGGAACATCAACCATTTGAGGTTATGCAAATAGGACGTGTGTTAATGCCATTTTTGTTTTTAGTAGAACATGTATAGCATAATGACTAGGCTGCTGTTTTTGTCACAATACTTGGCCCACACAGAAATCTGATACATGGCAATTACATCTGACAATAAAAATACATACATATGTGTTGAAATATATTAGCTAAAATGTCATTTACAATATATGGCCATACATTAACAAAAACACAGAATTGTATCTTATATATTTGAACATATGTACAAATTTGTAATTCCAATGGTTGAAAAAAAATATATACGTAAGTATTAATAATTTAAAATACATGTTATGTTGCATATAAGTGGGTAGATGTCAGCTGTGGCTGGTTAGACAGACACTCCCACTAGCCACTTTGGCTGGTTGAATTTTTTTTTTAATTGTAATTTTCTTAAAAAATTAAGAAAAGCTCAATTTTTTTTCAATAGTCTACAGAACAAACCATCGTTATACAATAACTTGCCTAATTACCCTAACCAGCCTAGTTACCCTAGTTAAGCCTTTTAATGTCACTTTAAGCTGTAAAGAAGTGTCTTGAGAAATATTTAGTAATATATACAGTTGAAGTCAGAATTATTAGCCCCCCTGAATTATTAGACCGCTTGTTTATTTTTCCCCAATTTCTGTTTAACGGAGAGAAGATTTTTTCAGCACATTTCTAAACATAATAGTTTTAATAACTCATTTTTAATAACTGATTTATTTTATCTTTGCCATGATGACAGTAAAAAATATTTTACTAGATCCTTTTCAAGACACTTCTATACAGCTTAAAGTGACATTTAAAAGCTTAACTGGGTTTATTAGGTTACCTATGCAGGTTAGGGTAATTAGGCAAGGTATTGTATAATGATTGTTTGTTCTGCAGATTATCGAGAAAAAACATAGATTAAAGAGGCTAATAATTTTGTCCCTAAAATGGTGTTTAAAAAATTAAAACTGCTTTTTTTCTAGCCGAAATAAATCAAATATGACTTTTTTCCAGAAGAAACAATATTATCAGACATACTGTGAACATTTCTTTGCTCTTTTAAACATCCTTTGGAAAATATTTAAAAAAAACGAAAAAATATCTAAGGGGGCTAATATTTCTGACTTCAACTGTATATAAAAATACTGCCTTTGAACAATTGTAGAGCCTTTGGAAAGTTTTACTGTAGACTATGCAAACTTGCAAAATACCAAATGTGTTTGTCAAACAGCGTTTACAGCTTTTAATGCCATTCAGTTGCAAATCTTTGCAACCAAATGGCATGTAGGAGTAGCTATTAGTACTGTAATACAGGTTGCCATTTGTTAGCTGTTGGCCTTTTTTGTGGAAAGTGTGAGCGGTATTTTTATGACCTTCACAGAGCTGCTAGAGGAACAGCCACACTACTGTGCTCAGACCATATGCAGATGATTGTCTTTAGCACTGTAAATTGGAAGGTCATGCTTTTGAAGGGTCACTGTGAATTTGTATTTGGGTTATCATCTTCTTGCTTTGTATAATTTTTGTTTGACAGCGTTTGGTTGGTGCATTTTCTGCCAGAGGTGAGTGGGACGCAGGGATTGTTCAAAATGACCTCAGCGTTTTGAATTGCATGCAGATGTTAACCAAAACCTCTGAAGGCCTGGGGATAATAAAGGGGAAAGTGGGTGCAGAATGTTATGGTGGAGTGTGATTTCTAACACCGCACCCATGCAATCATCCTGCATACAGTTTAACACCGCTAGCTTGAGAAACGGGGTAATTTTACTACATTATCAGACATCTGGCCAGACATCAGATTTGAATGTCTTATCCAAAATAATGTGAAACAGACCTTCATTCTTTTCCTTTGCTTCACAGTGACTAAGTCACCTTTTTGGTGTCAAATGTCACATTTAATAAAGTTGTAGAGTAAATATAAAGTTAGCCAATCAGTCAGTTAACAATCTGTATTCATTCTGATCCTCCTTCTCAAAGCTCCTGTTCGGGTGATCATCACTGAAGCTGGAAATCAGCCCAATTCCCATCCAATTCAATGGAACGCTCCTCCGTCTGCCCACATTACGCAATACATCCTGAAGTGGAGAGTCGTAAGTCTTTTTGTTTTGTGTTTTCAGGAGATATTTTATGTCAGTAAGAGTACAGAAGCATCGATTTTTATCCAGATTCCTGGAACGAGAGACATTTTGTCCATTCAGAGCATGTTTGTGTTCCTCCCTCGAAAAGAGATGATCGCTTCTGCTAAAAGCACAGGATGAGATTTCATCACACACAAACAAGCCACAGTCCTTGAACTTAAAAACACACATTTGCTCTTTACTCTGACACCATGAAACAGACTTCAGTGGAAAGTTGCTAAATTGTGCAATTATTATTATTAATATTGATTTATTTTTATATAGGCGTAGTGTGTAAGAATTTTAAACTGCAGTTATTGAAAGTTTTTGGTATTTTTTTAGGGTTATTTACATACTATTTTGCATTAAAACATAGCAATAATCGTATTTTCACATTTTCATAGTATTTACATTTTTTTAAATATTGGTATTTTTTGAAAAATAGTTATCCAAACTTGTTACCCTGATTTTATTAGATGTTAGCTCATTTGCATATCTAACTTTGGTAACACTTTACTTTAATGGTCCATTTGAGTATTAGTAGACTGTCTGCTTATTATCTGTTGAGACACACTTTAACTGACTATAAGAAACTTTGCAAGTAGAAATAATATTATATTATATAATATTATATACTATATTACTATACTATATAATAATAATAATATATATAATAATAAATTTGCAAAGTTTTAAGTTACATTTTAAGTTAATTTACATGCAGTGTCTCGTCTCTCAGACTCAGACTCAACTTTATTATTCTGTTTAGGGAAACTAAAATTCCAGCAAGGTGCCGTAACACAGGCGAAGTTCCATGTACACATGAACATAATATTACCACACAACATGCATCATTTTTAGGTGCGTCTCCCTCCCTGCTGGACTCATTTAATGACTTGATGGCCACCAAAAGAAAGTCTAATTGTACTTGTCCTGCAAATAGGAACTCTAAAGCGATGTCCAGATGGCAGCAGCTGAAACACCGAGTACAACGGGTCATCCGGGGTGCATAGGACACCCTGGGCTCTCTTTAAAAAATGTTTTAAATCTCTTTGAATTACCATTGGACCAGTTTGGTTAAAACTAATAATAATCTTGCCTGCCACCTTCACAAGGCTAACCAACCTGTTCTTATTTGACAAACTCTTTACTGTGCCAAGCTACAATGCAAAAAAATCAAACAGGTTCAATAAATAGTTTATTAAACAGTGTCATCATAGAGGTAAAAATCCAAAGCAATCTAAGTTTCCTCAGTCTTTGTTGAACTGTTTTAAAGACAGTCGGTCTCTAAAATAACCATGTGAATGCTAAAGAATCAGAACTAACTGTATCAGTTTCTTTATTTAGTCTAGATCAGGAGTGCCCAAACTCAGTCCTGGAGGTGCCGGTGTACTGCAGATTTTAGCTTCAAGCACAGTAAACACACCTGGATCAAGCTCTATCTAGGTATACTAGAAGCTTCCAAAAAGCTATGTTGAGGCAAGTTGGAGCTAAACTCTGCAGGACACCGACCCTCCAGGACCAAGTTTGGGCACCCCTGGTCTAGATCAAACAAACCAAGGTAACCTAACTACTAATGTGAACACTTGAGCCCTATTTTTTTTTTTTTTTTTAAGTATGTAACTTCTTCCATTTGACAGAAAAATACACGCACACCATGGAAGGAGGTCACTATTCCTGGCCACATCAACTCCTACACCATTTCAGGCCTCAAAGCAGGTTTGACGTATGAAGGCCAGTTGATCAGCATTCTGCGCTACGGACCAAGAGAGGTTACTCGGTTTGACTTCACCACCACATATGGCTCTCGTATGTAGCTTTACATATGTATTATCTTTACTCCCTTTTCTTCAGTAATTTCCAAAAAGAAAAACAACTTCAAACAACTTCTTGTTCTCCAGTGGCCAAAGCAGAGGGTGAGACCACCCAGCCTCGACAAGTAGTGGACACCTCAGAGTCTGTTACTGAAATTACCTCCAACAGCTTTGTCATCTCCTGGGTATCTGCATCTGACACAGTGTCTGGATTTAGAGTTGAATATGAACTCTCAGAAGAAGGAGCTCAGAAACGTGTGCTTGGTGAGTACAGTTGAAGATATTCCATTGATAACAAAATGAATAGGAGAAATATCAATACTCTACAACCACTATGAAGATCATGGATATATACACTAGATATCGCATAGGAACCCTGAGCATGCGTCAATAGCGCCGCCACATTGGTACAGTGCTCCCGGGACAAGTGTCATTCAACCGCACTAGTCAAGACAGTGTTATTACGTCAAGATGCGGGACTTTAGCGCTGTCTACGGGTGTAGTAACGAGCAAACAAACAAAACAAAGCGCAAAGGCAGAACGTTTCATTGGTAATATTAATTTTTTTTCTGTTTTTGTTTGTTCTGAACTTTTGTGCTAATCAGGTCACGTTATTGATGATAACAGTCACTTACTGCATTCACCATATGGCAAAGCAGCACCAACTCGCACTAAACACTTGGCTTATGCTAGTTTTGTTTAATAAAATCAGCAAACAATGCAAAAGAAATTTGAAAACGAGATGCTGCGCTGCCAGAAACTTGTCGGCTAACGTTAGTGAAAGAGTCGTTCGGGGGATTCATTCACAAACGAGTCGCTCCCTTTGTCAGTATGGGAAGTGAAAGCAGGAGAGGAGGTGTGTTTCAGGACACGGATTAGATTAAATTTAACAGGGAGGGTGAATAGTACATTTCTGTACACACAAGCTTTTTGTCAGGAATGCCCGTGCGGTCACTGATCCATCAATGTAGAAAAGTGATGTAAAATTATAATTTTCGTAATTAGAAAAAAAAATACATACTAACATCCAGGAAAACTCCCGATCATAGATATATGTGTATATCTCTGGCTTTGGGTGGCCACAGTCCTCCACTGTACCTTGGTCCCGCATTCATTTTAAAGGAGCGCTACCCTGTAGCAAGATGGCGGCGCTTTTGACGCATTCCGTCCAATAGACAACAGTAGGCCAGGCGACATCTAATGTATATATCTATGAATAAAGATGGCAGTAGCTGTCTGCAGCTCTCACATGGTCACCCATTACAGCCAAGTAGGGTTGTGTCCGGATAGTACCTCGATGGGATACTACATGGGAAAACTAGATTACAGCCAGAAGAGGTGCTCGTGAGGCCAGTAGGGGGTGCTTACTCTGTGTGGATCCTATTGCCCCAGTATAGAGCCGAGAGACTAGATTGTCAGTGTACTATCCTTCGGAGGTCCTGACTCTCTGTGGTCATTAAAATTTCAAGGATGTCCTCTGAAATAAATAGGAGTGTGTCCCTGGTATCTTGGCCAAATTTGCCCAGTGGCCTCTGTCCATCATGGCCTCTTAACTATCCACATATTATCTAACTGACTTCATGGCTCCTCTCCATCAATAAGTTCAGAATGCACTGACTGGCTGCTGTTGTGTCTTCCAGGTGGATGCTGCACACTGATGATAGTTGTGGATATCTCCAAAAAAAAAATCTGTAAAGTGCTTTGAGTCCCCTGAAAAGTGCTATATAACTGCAACAAAATATTAATATTATTAATCAACAAGATGACTGTGAGACATTTTTTGCTTTAGAAAGCCTATTATGACTAGCTCGTCCAATGATAATTTTGGCTAAAGAATCCATTTGTGATGTCATTTTTGTCAGATTAGAATCAATTCAATTTAGTTTGATTTGCTCTGGTATGTTAAATAAAAAGGTTACATCCTTTTCTCACGAAAATGATGGCATTCAATATATTGTATAATTTCTCAATTTGTCCCCATTGTGCAGACCTCCCAAGAACAACTACATCAGTGAACATTCAGGATCTTCTGCCTGGCCGTAGGTACAACGTTGATGTTTATGAAGTCAATCCAGAAGGAGATACAAAACTCATCCTGACTACAACTCAAACCACTGGTAAGATCACTGTATGTAGTGTCTTAGTTCCTGCTTACAACAGCAAAACCTTTTTGATTGTTCAAAATTATATGTACTACACTTTTTAAAGATTCACATTTTAACCAGCCGTCAGAATGTGCCTTCAAATGAATCTCCTATCTATTCACAGCACCTGATGCTCCAACCAATCATGAGGTCTCAAATGTCCAGGAGACCTCCATTGTGATCAGATGGTCCAAACCCAAAGCACCCATTACTGGTATAAGATATGCAAACCAACATTTGGGATTTAAGAATGTCTTATAAAGTTGTCTTTTGAGCATGGTGTATTGGAATGTGGAATGAACTCTTTTTCAGGCTATCGTGTGGTGTACACACCCTCAGTCGAGGGCAGCAGCACTGAGCTCATCCTCCCTGAGACTCAGACATCGGTGACACTGGGTGACCTACGACCTGGCCTGTCATACAATATCAGCATTTACTCAGTGGAAGACAACTTGGAGAGCGAACCTTTGGTCCTGCAGGCAAGCACAGCTGGAGAGCAACAGCCCGGTAAGAGCTCCTTTTATGGAGAAGAGATTTTTCATTTTTATAGCTTTCTGCTGTTTCAGTTAGCCTGTTTGTCAAAATATTCTCCACTCACACGTTCCTAGTATTTTATCTCTGCATTAAGTTCAAAGAGCTATTATTAAGAGAATTTTACTAACTTTTCTCAAAGCTGGTAAAAATGCCCAAGTTTCTCACTCATGTGTAAAAATGTCTGTTCACAGTGAGAGCTGGCACTAGCAAATGTCTGAGCTGGGAGATTTAGAGCTTACTCAGGGCCAAAACAACCTTATAAGGATAACCAAGTTTCAAGTGTGTCTTTGGGGGCTCAAATGTCCAGTTGATGTCTTTTTAACCAAACACATGCTACTTTATGGGAACTGTGAAGTGGTTTCTTCCGTGAATGATCTTGTTTTCCATCTTAAAGCTCATACTCTACTATTTTTAAACAGTGCAAAAGCATACAGTGAAGATTTAGATGTTCCAGATTCAATTAATATTTTGTTGTATGAAATAAGCCTCACTATTTCTCTTGCTATGGTTAGGGATTTTCAACAGACCCTTAACCCAAGGTATACAAGTTCAAACACTAGTGGTGCAATGGTTCAATCAACTTATGTATCACACAACTATGTATCACAGTTTTAGGGTCCTGGTTTGATACGGTATGGTATCTGCTATGTTTAGAAAAAAAAATGGCTACAGAAAAATTCAAAGAAAAATGTACATATTTCTTGGGTAACAAACACCTGATAATGCAGCAGGATTCTGCAGCAAATTCTCTCAATTAAATAAAAGTAGGGATTAAATTTTGGAAATTTTATCTTTAAAAAAAATGCTTAAATTTCCCCTCAGTCTCAACCAATATGCAGATAATAACTGTGTTAACACATCTTAATAATTAAGCACTTTTAGAGTATTGATTACTTCCGTTTACATTATGGCCACATTACCAAGGTAACAATGCATTTTTATCAATAATGATTACAGAGAGCTCTATTATCGCTTATCAGCACCATCATAGTGAATGAAACTTAAGCAAAAAGAGAGCATTCGGCTTTTCTCACTTAATTCGGCGGGAACAGTTAGTCGAGAAAAAAAACTTTTCTAAGCAGACAGCGGGAAAACAGAGTAAATAAATATTAGGAGCAATCTGTTTGGAATAACCCAGCGGGGGCGTGACTGAAGTAACAGACCTGCTCCATGTCTGGGTCCGCATGGGACACTTCTGGGTCTGGACACCGACCCCTGATCTAGGGTATATTTGGCATTCTTTTTTTTGTGTGTGTCTCAATTTACATTAAGTGTCTGTTGAAACACTGATGGCAATGTGCTGTGGTCTCAGCTGCACTTTAGCGCCATGTGTTGTGCTGAACTCTCAGAAACTCCAAATACACATTGATATGTTAGGAAACATGATGTCAACAACAGATTTACATACTAAGATTTGATTGTAAGGTCTTCGCACGTGCAATACATGTGAAAGGTAACCAGAAGTGTACAAAGGGGGAGCGTTTTTGCTTTGTTGCAGCTGTTTTTATGAAGAAACTAAACATTAATAATGCATATTCTGAACTGCGGATCACAGGGCGAACTGAACTGTGGGAGGACAATAGGATGATTAGATTTTTTTTTACAGAGAACCATTGCATTCCTACCAAACCCTGCTACAAATTTTGTTCCCAGAACGTTCTGAGGACAACACCTAGTAAAGTTTCCAGAATGTAATGATCATGAGAGTTTTCTTTAAAGGGTTGGCGAACATTCATGATTCTGGAATTCATCAAATTTGGAAAAATGACATTTCCAGGATGTCCTCTCTTATTTGGAAAAGTTATTCTTCTACTTTCCTTTGTAGTAGAGTGCTAAAAGATTGCTATTTTGTTTTCCATCTTATCAACAGAGGAAATCCAAGCTCCCACAGACCTGCAGTTTTATGAGGTTACCGATGTCAAGATCACTATCACCTGGACTGGTCCTCCTAATGAGGTCTCAGGATACCGTGTGACTTTTGCACCCGTAAGCACAGATGGCCAGGCCCAGAGACCCCTTCAGCTTCCTGTGACACACAATGCTTATGCGGAGCTCATGCGCCTTCAGCCTGGCACACTCTACCGTTTCCATATTTATGCAGTCAGCGGAGGAGTGGAGAGTGAACCTCTGATCGGGGAGAAATCTACAAGTGAGTGTTTGAGTTTTCCAAAAGATCTTACATTTCGTTATTATTATGTCTATATCATCACAACATTCTCCTTCCTCAGAGCCTGATGCCCCTACTGACTTGCGCTTCACTGATATCACCGATGACAGCGCTCTGGTCATCTGGTCTTTCCCCAGAGCTCAGGTCACAGGTTATCGTCTCTTCATCAGCATCGGCAGCTCCAGTCCCAAACAGCTGAGAATTCCTGGCCACAAGTCTCAATACAAGCTCCCCAACCTTCAGCCTGACACCGAGTATAGAGTCACCCTGCACTCAGAGCAAGGAAACACTCTTAGCGAAGGAATTACTGATACTTTCAGAACAAGTGCGTAACCTTTTCTTCTGAGGCGAAACAAGTGCAGTAATGTTCTTCTGTGCCCTTAGAGAAGTATACTCTAATTTGCTTGTTTTTCAGCTCAGCCCACGGGTAATGCTCCTCGATTCAACACTGAAGTCACTGACACTGCTATCATCGTCACCTGGATCCCTGTTGCAAAATTCAGTTACAGGGTATAAAAGCTTTATGAACAATTCGTTAGTTGACACATCTATGGCTAGGAACTATACTCTCTGTGGTGTAATACGCAAGGAACTTTGCTGCTGTACCATGCCTGTAGCAGGTGCAACCATATTATATAGATTCTGTTGGTGCAAGTGTAAGGCCCAATCCCAATTCTATTTTTGTACCCCTAGCCCTTCCCCTTGGCCCTTAAAACCAAGGGTTAAGGGGAAGGGCTTCAAAATTTACCCCTAAGAATTGGGACAGCACTACAGCACCTGCACACGTCATCATACGTCATCATGATCTCTTGCTTGATATGAGATCAGATGATCACGACTGCTGTAGTTTTTTCGAAGGAGTCGAAATTTAACATTTAGCTTTTTTTTTTTTTTTACACGACGGTAAAAAACGAACGCAGTTATGAATATATTAAAACTTGTGTTTGTTTGTGTAAAAATTCATAATAATGACAAAAAAATACTAATTTGTGGATCTTACTTCCGGGTGCAGCTGTGGCTGGTGTATTCTGGCAAATTTTCTTACCCCTTGGTTTCGAGTGTGGTCTTGAAAAATCTTCATTTAAAGGAGTGTATACCCCTTGCCCTTAAGGCTGATTTATACTTCTGCGTCAAACGCCGACGTATGCTACGGCGCTGACGTGCACCTCACAAAAAATGTAACTACACCTCGCAATGACGCGTAGCGTAAGCTCTGTGATTGGTCGGCTTGGTAGCGCTGACGAGTCTGGGTGGGACCGAGAGCCGCGTGCATGGTGCAAGCCTGACGGAGCGATTGTTTACAAGTGTGGAGTCCCGTGAAGGAGCTCTGGATGAAAAGTTTTGATCTGTGTTTACCTCATAGTTAAAGTTGTTGCACGTCCGCCGGTTCCTGGCTCAAAATGAGCGAGTTTGAGCCACTTGTACATCCCGGAAGTGTTCAGGAAAAGCAAAACAACAGCGAAGAAACTTGACACAGAGGAACATTAACACCTCACTGCCAACTAGCGTTTCCGAAGTGTTAATGCAGACCAACAGAGACAGCGCGCAGAAGTATAAATGCACAGCTACGCGCGTTGCATGCGCCGTGGGTTACGCCGGTCACTTGACGCAGAAGTATAAACCAGGCTTTAGCCCTACGCCTTCAAGCTAAAGAGAATTAGGACACCACTACCCCTTCACGGGAACGCACAAAACCAGGGGAAGGGGTTAGGGGAAGGGCTAGAATTGTGATTGGGCCTAAGTTCTAGTGCTGGGGTCTAGTTTCGGGTTAATTTTAGCATGATTGCATTAAATAAAGCTTCTGGGTTTCATGTAAGGGAGGTGAAAAGCATGCAACTACATTGAAAACATTATATATCATAATAGACATTATCTGGTTATGATTCCAATTTGACTACCTGTCTAAAGAATATATGTCCTTTTCTCAGATGTCTGTGAAGCCTAGCCAAAGTGGTGAAACTCCCAGAGAAGAGACTTCTGGCTCAGGCCGGATTTACATTTCTGGACTGACTCCAGGACTGGAGTACATCTACAGCTTGCAACCCTTGTTCAGTGGCCGAAAACATGGCAGCCCTATCACAAACAAAGTTGTCACATGTAAGCTACTATGAGACTAATTTAAACCAGTCCTACTTTTGCCTGAATCTAAAGGTAGTTTATTTCTTGCTACAAAGACTGAGGTCTAGTAGATCCAGGGATAAGCTCTATTACAAGATATGAAAGGAACTGCTGTTCAAGAATAATACTAGACTTCATTCCTCTTTGCTTTTTCACGTTAGCCTTATCCCCACCAACTGATCTAAATGTGGAGCCTAACTCAGTCAACGGTGAACTCAATGTCAGATGGAGAGGCACCAAAAGTCCAGGTAAATATTGACTGTACACCCACTTCTTATCCTCGTTCACCCTTGATTCGAAGCAATGTGGTGGACCTTGGCCATATGTGTAGGCTGTGTATATGTGACCGTTTGATAATACAAAATTTTATCTCGGCTTTTCATTAGGATTATTAATTTCTTCAGCAATTTTTCCTTGCAATACTTCTATGCAATATTCCCTTTCTCCCCTCAGATATCACTGGCTACAGAGTGACAGGCACACCGATCAATGGGCAGCGTGGAGTTAGTCTAGAGGAGTCTGTACGAGGGGATGAAACCTCATGCATTCTGGAGAACCTGAGTCCTGGTGTTGATTACAATATCAGTGTCTACACTGTAAAAAACCACCTGGAGAGTGAGCCAATCTCGACTTCTGTCACGCAAGGTAAGATCCCATTAATGGTCAACATGTAAAGTAACAACAGACATAAAAAGGTAAGCTTGAGCCATGCTCTGCAGGATCGAAACCATCATAAATGATCCAGAGAATCACCTGATTATCATGGATTCACAGATTTAATTGGTCCCTCTTTATTTTGATGGTCCATTTGTTGAATTGAAGTGATTGTATCTACATGCCAACTAGTTCTCTTTAGATTATAAGTAGAGGGTTAGGTTGGGTTCAGTGCAAGTACTTGCAAAGTTTCTTATAGTCAGCTAAATGTCTGTTGAAGAAGCAGTATCAACAGATATTAAGCAGACAGTCTACTAATACTCAAATGGACCATCAAAATAAAGTGTTACCACTTAATTCAACCTCTCAAGACATCCATACAAGAAAGATGCCTTTTGTAAAAAAAATGTTCACGTGGACAGCAACTTGGCAATTGTTTTTTTTTTGACCTAATAGACTACTATAACAAATGTGCTTCAATTCAGTTCAGCTTTATTTGTATAGCGCTTTTACAATGTAGATTGTGTCAAAGCAGCTTTACATAAATGGTTATAGTAACTTCAGATCAAGAATAAAGCCACCTGGTATCAGAGTTGTCAGAATTGTCATGGTAAATCTTTTGCATTCTGTTTATGGTTCAGTGCCTATGAGTAGACTCAGGAATTTCACAAAGAATGGACAATTAAGGCCCTGTTTACACCAGTGTGTTTTAGTTTTAAAACAGCGTTTTAGAATGAAAACGATCCGCATCCACACTGGCGTTTCACCCAGTGTTTCTGAACAACTCTACACCAAACCACTGAAAGTGCACATCATGTGACCACACACACAAACACACTGGCATGCGCTGCAGCCTATCTAGCCAGACGAGAGCTGTGCTCGAAGTGTTCAAGGATCTACCGCTGGATCTAATCTCACTGTATTTGTTAAACGTGATATTCAATTCATCTTGTTGTCTATATCTTACAACATATTCCTTGACTTTGGTCTATTGAATATATACTTGTTCTCAGGTAACGTGTTTTGGCTAAGCTCAAACATTAATTAATAATTAGTTAATAATTAATGTAACCATGTACATTCTGTATATTGACTGATTGTTTGCTTTTATTTTCTAAAAATGTATAAACGTACTGTACGGTATACTTTATAATGCCCATTATTGATTATTAAAACTGATATTCAGCAAAAGAAAGGGTATGTTTCATATTGTCAATGAAAATGAAAGGAGGCAGTGATATTATCGGCTCCGTTTTGTTACAAATATGCATACAGTGAAGATGACTGTCATATAATGCAGCGCAATGCCTTAACATTTCGGCTGTCATATAATCCAGCGCAACACTTCAACATTTCGGCTGTCTGTTAGGTTGTTAATATCAAAATGAAAATAGCAGTTGCTTATATCATGTTTTCATTTTATTGTTAACATAGTGAAACAACACAGCCAGGGGGACGTGAATAAGGTTATAAAGTACACTGTTCCCTTTGAAGATTCACCAACATGTCCTCTGGAGTCTGTTTATCATATCAAACTTACGAAGTTTGAACTTACAAAGAGAGGATGCAGGACTGAACTGTGTGTATTCTAATTAATATTGAGGAAAAAGCCCCAATCAGAGAGGCGAACGTCCGCAGCCTCGCTTTCAAACTGAAACGCATTAGTGTAAACGTGGCCTAAATGGCAACTGGCTAGTAAAACTACAATAAAGGTTATATATAGTATCAAGTATTAAGCCTAACCCGGAAATTACTTCCTGTGATAGAGATAATAACTTGGCTATTGTCAAATAAAAGGGCACAAAGTCAATTAAAAAAGACCAAACAAGCAATGAATGGAAACACAACGCACCTCTCAACAGGTATTGTGCTATTTCTACAAGACTTAATGTGGCCAACATACTCTGTCCAACAGTTTGTGCCACTCATCACAGCCTATGCCTTAGGTGTCAAAGTACTGGAGGGCTGCAGCTCTGCACAGTTTTTCTCCAACCCTGATCATACACAGCTGATGAAGGTGTTCTTGAACACCTCGTTATTTGAATTAGCTGTGTTTGATAGGGTCAGAGCAAATCTGTGGAGAGCTGCGGCCCCCAGGAATTGAGTTTGAGACCTATGGCCTACGCTGTACCACATATTACTGCTTCTGCTCTGGTTAGACACTATCAGTCTAATCACACACTTTGGTTTTTGCTGTTGTTTAATCATTTCACGCATCATGGAAATAATTGTGTAATTCTCAACAAGCATGGCTGCTTCATTTATGGTGTTAATTGTTAGATAATATCAATTGCATTTGATTTTCTAAAAAAGTTTGAGCTTTGTGCATGTTTTCTGATGATCAGTTAGCTATTAGCATTGATGGCATGAGAACTTTAATTGCTGCTTGTCCAAATTAGTCACTGCTACTGCTTCTGTGTGTCTTGTCTTTTCTCCCTTACCCATGAATGCAACTTTGTAAACCCAATTAAAGATGTGCCCAAGGTGGGTGATCTCAGCTTTGTTGATTTTACGGACACCACGATCGGAATTAGATGGACCCCACTAAAATACCAAGCAGTTACTGGATACCATATTACAGTTGTTACGTCCGGCCAGAATTTTCCCATCTTGGAGGATGTGGTGAACTCCTCCGTCAACTATTATACCATTCGTGGACTGGAGCCAGGCATCAATTATGACATCAGTGTATCCACCATTACAGACGAGGCGGAGAGCGTACCCTCAGTGATCACACAGCAGACCCAAACTGGTGATTTATTCCAAATAGGTTTCTTATTACATTTTGAAGGATAGAACCCTCATCCCCCAAACCAATCCTTCGCTCAGACCACTTTCCTACATCAGAACATTGATGAATTTCTAGCGGTGTCTTTGTATTTGCATTCTTGAGGAATGCACTATGATAACTTCCACTAGGAGGGTTATCATATTGTTTGTATTTTACTTTTGTATTAGTAAAAAATTTAAAGGTTAAATAGCTTTTCTCATCAAATATTCATTGTAATTGTATGTTTGAACTAAATCCAATCTTTGCTGACAAATTTTTCAACAAATTTTAACGTCTTCTTGTTTAGCTGTTCCAGCCCCCACAAACCTGTACATTTCTGAGGTGGGCGCAGACAGCATGCATGTGTCATGGACCGCACCTTCTGTTCAGCCATCTGAAATTAGTCGATTTGTCATCCGCTACCATCCAACGAATAATGACGATGACACTCAGGAAGTCAACGTAGGAGGTGGCACCACTAGCTTCGTCCTTCAGAGTAAGTTTACTAATTACTCAATTAAAGCTTCTGTATTTTATTTAAGGAATATTGATGGTACATCTTAAACTTCACCTGCTGTTTCTCGTTTTCCTCAATTTAGACTTGCTGCCAAATACAGAGTATCTGGTGAAAGTGGTGTGCGTCTATGATGACAGAGAGAGTGAACCTGTAACTGGTATCCAGAAAACAAGTACGTATTCGAATTTAAGAAACAGTTTTAAGGGTGCTTTCACACTTGGATCGATTGCCTGGATCGTACCAAAGTTCAATTGTCCCCCCCTTCACTGCAAAAAAGGCTTTTCTTACTTAGATTTTTGTGTCTAGTTTCTAGTCCAAATATATAAAAATTCCTAAATCAAGACGAATTTTCTAGACAAGCAAAACATATTGTCTCATTTTGAGAGATAATATGCCAATATTAAGTGAGTTTTTCCTTAAAACAAGCAAAATAATCTGCCAATGGGGTAAGCAAAATAATCTTACGTCAAAAGAAAAAATACGATTATTTTGCTGACCCCATTGGCAGATTATTTAGCTTGTTTTAAGGAAAAACTCACATTACATTGGCATATTATTTCTCAAAACAAGACAATATGTTTTGCTTGTCTAGAAAATGCCTCTTAATATAAGAAATTTTAGATATTTAGACTAGAAACAAGACAAAAATCTAAGCAAGAAAAGCATTTTTTGCAGTGTTGCCACCTTCTCGGTTGGTTTGAGTTCACACTGACTTTTTTCCTTCTGAATGCCGGTACGCTTGCATCATCGAACTGCTGTTGTGTGTATGAGTGTTGCTACTTTAGGTGACAGACACAAAAGCAAAGCGCCAAAATGGAAAGATACCGCACATCGCGGTTGTTTTGCTTTTACTCAATCTTTTGGTTTTCGACAAACAAAAACCGACTCGCATCTATCTGCCGCAAAATATTATAACTGTTTAGAACAGGGGTCACCAACCCTGTTCCTGGAGAGCTACCTTACTGCACATTTCAGTTGCAATCCTGACCAAACTCACCTGTTTGTAATTATAAAGTGCTGCTTTAGGTACTATTAATTGGTTCAGGTGTGTTTGATCAGGGTTGAGACTGAATTCTGCAGGAAGGTAGCTCTCCAGGAACAGGGTTGGTGACCCCCGGTTTAGAACATAGCCCGATGTCTGCAGAATCTGTTTTGGAGGAGACAAGCTATCAATGTGATTGCCCTGGCTCAGCCCCGCTTGTCACCACGGTACAGTACGTGATACACAGACACACACACAAATGAACATTATGAAATTGATAGTTTGATGTACTCTTGGTAGTTCACTTCCGTTATTTGGTACGATTGCATTCTTACCAGAAGTGAACCATACCACAGTTTGCACGAACTGTACGCCAGACCATCTCTTTCAGGCAGTCTTGGGTACTTGATAGTGGGTGTGCACCTGAGCTCAGAAGACACATTCACACTAACTAAACGAACCGTATTCTGACATCAAACAAACCTGGGTGCAGACCAAAGGTGCTAGTGTGAAAACCCCCTTTTCTTTCCCTTATCACTATCTGTAAGTTTCCCCAATTGAATTCATTCCCCTCATCCACACAGAACTGGACTCCCCAACAAATCTGGACTTCTCTGACGTCTCCACCAATTCATTCACCGTGCACTGGATGGCCCCACGTGCAGTCATTACCGGTTACCGCCTACGTTATCAACCAACAAGTGGTGGGCGTGCTAAAGATGAGAGACTTCCACCAACAAGAAACTACTTCACGCTGGTGAACCTGGCCCCTGAGACAGAGTATACCGTTCATATTTATGCCGTCAGCAGCAATATAGAAAGTCTACCACTTACTGGAACACAAGCAACTGGTGAGAAGTCAGGAATTGAAATACATCTTCCTAATCTTTTGTAGTAGAATAATAAGACTCTTGTTTCTTCATTTAGTTTCTGATGCTCCCACTGACCTGGCTGTGACATCCTCCACACCCACCAGCATTACCATCTCCTGGGATGCCCCGGCAGTTACCGTACGCTATTACAAGATCACACATGGCGAAACTGGTATGAGAAATGGTCAATGGACATCGTCTTGTATTCAGTTATTGCAAGTTCAGTTGAAGTTAATAGACTTTACTGACTCCCAGGTGAAAGAGATGCACCGAGAGAGTTCACTGTTCCAGGAACACAGTCTTCTGCCACCATCCAGGGTCTGCGGCCTGACACAGATTACACCATTACGCTGTATGCTGTGACAGGAAGAGGGGACAGCCCAGCATCCAGCACACCAGTTATCATCACACACAGGACTGCGGGTGGAAGTAAGCACACATGCTAAAGGCATTTGTATCAGGGCTTTCTGACTATTAATGTTTTTTTATGGCTTTTCTTCACTTTCAGGCATTGCGTCGCCATCAGATTTAGATGTTACAGATATTCAAGACAATACCTTGACTGTACGCTGGACCCCAGCTAGAGGTCCCATTACAGGGTACAGGGTAACAGGGACACCCAAGGGTGGGCAAGGTCCTACATTCTCTGAACTAGTTGGCCCTGGTGAGAGACTGCTCACTTTTTACAATATTTTTTTTATTCTTACAGCTATGATGGTGGTTTGGAAGAACTGCTCAGCATATAGACGTAACAAAAAATCTGTTTCCCCTTTTCTTAGAGCGTACAGAAATGACCATCCATGGCTTGGTGCCCACGGTGGAGTATACAATCAATGTGGTTGCTCTCAGCCAAGAAGGAGAAAGCACACCAGTGGTCCAAAAAGCTACAACAAGTTAGTGGTTTTATTATATTTTAATGCACCTAACATAAAAAAAAAAAAAAATCATAGTTCTGGTTTAAGTTGAACAACTGGAGTTAAGTGTGCATCTCAATGGGTTCATGGACTGTTTCTTGTAAGGACCAAATTATCAATCGTCCGGTGAACAGTGCAAAGCTTTAGTTACTATTCCAAACCCCTCTACACATACTCCGTTACTTTGTCCTTCTTTCTAGCTAATGAACAGAAACCAAAAGACCTGACCTTCACTGATGTGGACTCTACCTCCATGCTTGTGAAATGGAATGTTCCACGGGTTCCAGGAGTGACCTCCTACAGGGTTCTGTATTCTAGTCCGGAGGAAGGCGAAAGAGAGTACCAACCTGCCTTAAGTGGACGTGATAACAGTGTGCTTCTTCAAGGTCTGAACCCCGGAACCATGTACATCATTAAAGTTATTCCAATGAAAGGACGCAACCCACTTCAAACCCTTGAGGGCATACAGCAAACTATCCAAGAAGACACTCAGCGCATTGGTATGGCATCTCTCAATTCAAATTAGCTTTTTCAGTTAGTCAGGTAATAGAGTTGAGTGTTGTTGGAGATCTGTCCTGATTCTAATCCTTTTACTTTTTCAAGCTGTTCCTGCTCCCACCGATATTCAGTTCTTCGACATCAGTCCGTCTTCCTTTATTGTGTCATGGCAAGCACCCAATTCCAGACTTTCTGGCTATCGTGTGGTGGTCACCCCAAGGAATCAGCTTGCCACATCCAAAGAAATGACCATTTCACCAGACTCTACGCAAGTCTTAGTGCCTGGGCTTGTGGTAATATGTCTAACTTTTGCAAATAACTAATCTAATAATCATTTTGGGCACAAGTAAAAGTAACACAGTGAAAATATTGGGGCTTAACATCTGTTGTTTATTAACAGGTGGCAACCCCTTACAATGTACATGTCTATGCACTGAGGGGTTCAGACAGCAGTCCCCCTCTTACTGGAGAAATTACCACCGCCGACAGTAAGTATGTTTTCAGTAATCTGGATTATAGTTGAATGATTTTTGAAATCATTATCCTGTATTTAAATGAAACGAATGTGTTTGGCTACACAGATATTACCCCTCCTCGCCGAGTACGTATCAGTGATGTAAAAGACACCTCATTCACTCTCGCATGGCGTGCCGTCAATAATGAGCCAATGACAGGATTCCTTATTGAAGCCACGCCCAAAAATGGAGGTTACCCCACCTTTAGACAAACTATTCCTTCTGACAGACGTACCTATGTTGTCACTGGTAAGCAACTATACATAATGCCCAAAAAATTGTCAACCACTGGATAAACTAACCCAGGGATTATAAACTTAAAATATTGGATGCAAAGACACTTCATTTAAAGTATACTGTGGTTATTATTGTTTTAGTGTCTAAAATGTATGAAGTTTCTTCAATTTATTACAAACTTTTGTTTTTTTTTATGATGTTGGGGTATTGCCAATAATTGAAATAACTGTATTCCATACATCAGGTTTGCATCCAGGTGTCATGTATGTGGTCAACATGTACACAGTAAATGGAAACATGAGAAGTCCTCCTTTCACAATGACTGTAAACACAGGTACAAAGTAGCTTTACCTAAATAGTGCTGATTTGAGGTGAATTCTCAAATTTAATTGACTGACATTGCTCGCTATGACCTTAAACTTTTATTTTCACTCTATGCAATTACAGCACGTCCAGCTGTTCAGTCTCCAACCAACCTCCAATTCACCTCCCTAACCCCTAATTCCATCTCCTTCACTTGGCAAGCCCCTCCAACACACATCACAGGATATTATATTACTTATGAAGAATCAGGTGGCTCACCTCGTGAGCTTTTTCCACGCAATAATGTTGGCCAGAACTATGCCACTATAGCCGGTAAGACACACATTGCATCACATTACAACCAGATGTGTAATAGACAGCAGTAAATAAATAAATATCTTAATTTGTCTTGTGAATATATTTGTGATTTTTAAATTCAGGTCTAAAACCAGGCACTGAATACATTATTAAGATCATTGCCCTTCTGAATAACCAGAGAAGCGCACCACTAGTTGGCACAGCCACAACTCGTAAGTATTTACTAATATTCAATTCAATTTCAATTCAGCTTTATTTGTATAGCGCTTTTACAATGTAGATTGTGTCAAAGCAGCTTCACATAAATGGTCATAGTAACTGGAACAGTGTAGTTCAGTTTTTAGTGTTTAAGTTCAGTTTAGCTCAGTTCAGTGTGATTTAATCATTACTGAGAGTTCAAACCCTGAAGAGCAAATTCATCGATGCGTAGCTCTACCATTCCTGAACCATGCGAGCCAGTGGCGACAGCGGAGAGGGAAAAAAAACTTCACCTGATGGGAGTGAAGAAAAAAAACCTTGAGAGAACCAGACTCAGTTGGGCACGACCATTTTAATTTCTCCGCTGGCCAAAAGTCTTGTGCAGAGCTTTAGTCACCGTGGTGGAGGAATGTAAAGAATTCCTTGTTGTAAGCCATATTCTATAAAAATGTCTGCATTATGTAAAACGTTATAGCATACATCGAGATACAAGGAATACTGTTGAATGATACAAGCCAAGGAACAAGGGTTTGGGGTTTGCAAGCATGATGGCTACTGCAGTATAAACAGCACAGCAGCTTGGATTCTTGGAAATCTTGGATTTTGTGAAAGCTTTGATATTGCGCTGGCTTGCATTTCAATTGTACACCTTGCAAAGCCACATATTTTTAAAGCTGCTTAGCTTTTTAGAACTAAATGCAAAAAGAATCTAATGTAAACCGAAGTTAGCTGCATATTTTTGCACCAAGCTGGCAGAACTGCTATCTTACCACTACCTTTTTTAAACTAAAGTGTTCCCTCATCAAAAGATTTGATCAGTGTTTAAGGGGCTGGTCCATCCTGATTACTGTATGACTTTTAATGATTAAAAGTATAATTTTAACTAGTCATCTTTGCCTTAAACTTTATACAGTGTTTAAAATTCAGACTCTTGTTTGGCAAAACCAAATAATGCATTTACTTATTTTAATTGCAAAGCTTTGCAATTTTAAGAAAATTCTTGGATCTACTCCCCTTTTTTATTTGACTGAATCTTCAGTACCTTACTGCTTTGCAACTAGGACTGCTTCCTAACCTGCTGCTTTGCTTTTAATGCTTTTTCCTGCCTAGAGCTGATATCCGGTCTACCTAGCCTGCCCAGTCATGGTGGCCGAGACAAGCTGGATGTGCCAGAGCCTGACAACAGAATTAATACAGTGGGTCCTACTGGTCATGATTCAACGGATGCGCACGGGCAGCACGTGGAGTACACCGAATACAATAATCAGCCCAAACAACCCAACATAGGTTACCAGCCTCAAAATCGTCAGCCAATCTCTCAACCTAACCAACCTCGACCACAGCCTTATGTGCCTCAAGTTGGAGAGACCCTAGTCTATGTCCCCCAGGTGGGACCCGATGGGGGTCGTGTGCCTCAAATTATTCAGGTTAGTGAGAGGCCTGGCGATGGCCATACTTTTGGTTTTCCAGAGGACAGGACAGGAAGGCCGCAGGAAGCTCAGACCCAGACTACCATCTCATGGCAGCCCTTCCAGCAGAGTTCTGCCTACCTGGTATCATGTCAGCCAATCACCCATCCAGATGAGAAGATGTTCCAGGTAAAGAACAAGGAAGTATATAAAGGTTCCAGAATTTCTTAATCATCTTACCCTTGCTTTTAAAACTCACAATTGCTTGTTTTGCAGATGCGTGTCCCAGGAACATCCACAACTGCCACTCTTATTGGTCTCACCTCTGGTGCGTCCTATAATGTCATTGTGGAGGCCTTGAAAGGAGCCCTCAAGCACAAAATCCTAGAGGAAGTCGTCACTGCTGGAAATACAGGTAAAAAAGGAAATTCAAGCTTTGATGAAAGCTTAATATGCATACATATCTGATGCCGACATTGTTCCCTTCAACCCAACAGTTCCAGGAGATGCTACATCCAGCAAGGACTCGTGTTATGACACTTTCACGGCCACTCACCACGATGTCGGAGCGGAATGGGAGCGCATGTCTGATACAGGCTTTAAACTCTGGTGTAGATGTCTTGGATTGGGAAGTGGACATTTCAGATGTGACTCTTCCAGTAAGTTATTTTAAAGGTCCCGTGAAGCTCATTGAAATGTACATTTCAAAGGAGCTCCTCCCCTTTAAAAAAAAAAAAAACAGCCAGTGTTTAGAGCAGGGGTGTCCAAACTCTGTCCTGAAGGCCCAGTATCCTGGGGCCTCATGTACGAAAGCTTGCGTGGAAATCATACTAAAACCTTGCGTACGCACATTTACTGTAAATGTGCGAACGCAGAAAAAAATTCAGATGTATGAAACACTGCGTACGCCAAATCCCACGCATATTCTTTGTACATCTGAATGAACGTGAAACTAAGCGCAACATGCACGAGCATAAAACCCCTCCCTGCCTCCTCCCCCGTATGAATGACTCTACTTTGGCAAAGCCCAATGAAAAAGCAAATGCAAAAGCAAGCAATAAGAGAAACTTTGAACAGAATGTGAATTGAAGGTGCTGCTTTCGGAGGTAGACCGGAGAAAAACGGTGTTATTTGCAATTTTGTCCTCCGGAATTAATAACAAAAGAAAAAAATAGAGTGGGGAGAGTTTAGCTGATGCGGTTAACACAGTTGGGTCTGAACATTGCACTGTGGAGTTAAAAGAGAAATAGTGTGATTTATAGGTGTAAAATGTTGTATCCACTTTAACTATCTAAGTGCGAATCCAGCATCTGATGAACTCTTTCTTGTTTTTTTCCCCCGCTGCATATCAGATTTTGCCAACTATTTATCACGAGATAGACAAGTAGGAATCATTAATAAGTCTGTGCATCATATTTTATTGGCACATTTATTGAATGGAAATGTTTCTGATTCACGCTTGCAAATTCATCTTCAGATAGTGTCTTTATAGCAATGTGCATGCGGTAGATCGCTCCCATTACAATGGGAAAACAGGCGACCGCTGCAAATTGCGCTTTAATGTTTGGCTGGTCAACTATACGGTATGGAAATCTTATATACCTGCTAGATGAACCCGTCTCATACAGCTGCCACTGCAAGGCTCAGACACGTTGTAGAGTGCATTTTAACACAACTGCCTCTAGGAGTCGCCAATGGAAATAAAACAGACACGCACAAAAAATGTGCGTACGCCAGCCATAAAGCTGCCGTGGAGCTGCGCACATTCCCACGTTCAGTTCATCGTTAGTAAATCCAAACGTGAGCGATTCTGAGCGTGAAACCTGGCGTACGCAAAGTTTTTGTGCGTACGCAGCGTTGATACATGAGGCCCCTGGTGAGTTTAGCTCCAACCCCAATTAGACACACCTGAGCTAGCTTTTCAAGTTCTCTAAAATCTGCAGGACACCGCTCCCCAGGAATGAGTTTGGGCACCCCTGGTTTAGATCATTTGATTGGTCAGAAAATTTTATAAGAAACTGAAGTATGAGGTGATTGATCATTGATCTACTTACCTGAAAAATTACAAACTGCAAGCTTTCGATATTCAAATCTTCAAAGTATGAAATGTTGTGTTTGATTTCACAAGTACTTTAAAGGTACAATAGTGTTTTTTGCTCTGTAGGCAGTTTTTATAATGCTTCCTGCATCTTTTCAGAATGGTGTCACGACAGCGGAAATAACTACCGCATTGGCGAAAAGTGGGAGCGTCGGGCAGAAAACGGTCACTTGATGAGTTGCACTTGCTTGGGCAATGGCAAAGGAGAGTTCAAGTGTGAACCACGTGAGTTCTTCCTCTAAACAGACACTCTAAGGTCAGGTTTGGTCACTTCCAAGATCTGGATGTAAATGTTTCCATTTCGGTGTAGATGACTCCATATGTTACGATGATGGAAAGATGTACCAGATTGGAAACCAGTGGCAGAAAGAATACTTGGGGGCCATCTGCACTTGCACATGCTATGGAGGACAACAGGTATAAACAAGCAACTTATGTCCATATACACCAGGGGTGTCCAAACTCAGTCCTGGAGGGCCGGTGTCCTGCAGATTTTAACTCCAACTTGCCTCAACACACCTGCAAGGATGTTTCTAGAAAGCCTAGTAAGAGCTTGATCAGCTAGCCCCGGTGTGTCTGATCAGGGATGGAACTAAACTTTGCAAAACACCGGCCCTCCAGGACCGAGTTTGCATATGCCCGATATACACAGAAAGATTATATTTTAATTGACAAATCAAAGAGTGTGTTTAAAACATGGCTCTGAAATTAAATGTGCTGCTTCTCAGGGTTGGCGATGTGAGAACTGCAGAAGGCCAGGTGCTGAGATAAATGCTGACTTGCTTAGGCCTGTGCGCCTTAACAACGGCCAAAGGGTGGTGAGTATCTGTGTTCATTCAAGCATTTCAAATGGCCATACACATTCAAATACAAAGTTATCATGACACATCTATGCACTCACTATGAGCTCAGGAATCTACTTCATGCTAAGTTGCAGTCAGCAATACTTGAGGACAAATGTAGCTGTGCACAATGCAAACCAATAGAAATAATAACCGAAAAAAAACAACCGTTTTATAGTACCCAGCAAGCAGTTTCTGTTTTAAAAAGATGTCTAATAGACGTCTAAACATAGTCATCTTGGCTAAAAGAAGGCTAAATTTGGACTGTCAGTGAAAATCTAATAGACGTCTAAGAATAGACCAAAATTAGACTAGTCAGCAAATAAACAGAAATGAATGACTACACGTGTAAACTCCATCTAATCTGTCTATTTGACAGTCTATTTGTCTAGGCTTATTCTTAGATTCTTAGATTTTCACAGCCTAAGTTTAGCCTTGTTTTAACCAAGCTGCCTACGTTCAGATGTCTATTAGTCGTCTATCAAACACAAAAGATGTTAGCTGGGTAATATCTTTTAAAAACATCTCACAAACACTGACAAAAAGAATGGTCAAACAAGTACCTATACAAACTGACAGGGTATGAATGAGCGGCTGCAACTCGTTTCAGAGTTGACTTCAGTATTTGTAGCGCAACTGCTTACAGTTTATTGCTGATTAGTGTATGTGTGATACAATAAATCAATAGAGCTCAATGGGATTCAGCCTCTCTTGTCCTAAATACCCAAAAAGATTTGCGCTGTAATGACACCGTCCCGTTCTCTATTGCATATAGTTTCTAAAAGGGGAACTATAACACTATAACCTTTATTAATAGCTTCGCAAGTCCTTAAAGGGATAGTTTATCTAAAAATGCTAATTCTGCCATCATTTTCTCACCCTTCACTTGGTCAAAACCTATTTGGGTTTCTTCTGTTGTACACTAAAGATGATATTTTGAATAACGCAGGTATTTGCCACCAACAGACTTCCATAGTAGGATCAAAAAGCATAGAATCACCAAAAGGCGACACTCAATAGAACGTTCCATTGCAACAGCAGCGCACAGCAACAGCCCCAGATTCCGTTCATTTTGGAGTGAAAGCGATCGGCTGTCCATTAGATCTTATTGCTGTTGCGATGGCAAGCAGCTGCTTTGTTTATTTATTTATTTAAAAAGTGCATTTAAGCCAAGATACAACCTGAAAGACGACAATACAACACTTACTATCACAATCATCCGTATTTTTTAATAGTTTATTTTACACTTATAATATGCTGTTGTTCTATTGGAATTTTCATTCCAAAATGGCTGCCGCCAATTTGTTTCCCAAATCGCACTAAAGTGTCACCTCTTGGTGATTCTACGCTCGTTGATAGTAGGATACTATGGAAGCATTTTACAAAATAGATGTTAAAAAGCAAAAATCTACGAGTGATTATAGCGCCTACCGATGGCCGATGTGGTTATAGTCATGGCAGGTATTATTTGGTACAGTGGTCATTTATTTCACTAATTTGATAACCATCAAACATCATCTGGGAAAAGATTAAAATTTACGTTTAGTAAAAAAACACAACACTACATACATATACTAAGAACATAGTGTATAGTGTGCCATTTGGATCGCAGTTATACACATGCAGCTATATTTCAGGCTTTCATCATAACATCATGCTTTATCTTCCAGAATATTCAGTGCCCCATCGAATGCCTCCGACCAGAACTTCTTGCAGATGCTGTAGTCAATCCCAAAACCCAAGAGTGAAACTTCATCCGACCGTGACGTTCTGCCCCTCCTCATGTGTCGTTTCATGTGGGACATGTAATAAAAGATGTGATGTAATATGGAAATGTACTAATCACATACTGCCTTAAAGCCGCCCTGTTTGTTACCACATCTCTACTGCCGTCCAGCTGCTGCTTTACAGCCAGTCTGTGTTGATGCTAAAGTTGCATTCACTCACAGTTTTTAATTGGCTGTTCTTTATTTTAAGAAGTTTGATTGGATTAAACTTTTGTTTGCTAGCGTGAGTTATACCTTAAATTGAAAAAAGGTTCAAATAATTGCAATATTAAAGCAATCTCCCTTGTTTTTCCCCCATTTTTGATACTGCAACAATGAGAATAAGCACATTCCATGCTAAAACATAGTTTTTTATGTAAAGCTTTCCAGTTTAACTAAATTAGACCCCTCTCCACCCTTCCAAAATAAAAAAAAAAACTACCATAGCAGTATTTCCAGAGGATTCGAGCCTTTATGAATGGACAAATGTGAGACAGTCTTTTAAAATAAGTGAATAAAAGCACTGCTTTAGAAGAATGTTAGAGCACCACTGGGGTACACGAAGATACCAAAACATCTGAAATTGTCTGTGATCATTTTTCTAACATGGCTCTGTTATTTAGACAGTCAGCACTGTTTTCAGATTGTTTCAATTTGCATAACTCTTTGAATGTTTATCCCCTTCATTCTGAAGTGTTTGGATTGTATAGAATGTTATTGGTCTCACTTGACCGTCCTTGTTTTACTGCCGACACCCGCTTTCAACTACTGTTAAATCCATTATTGATATATTGCGAAACTCATGACGTTGTATTTATGAAATCTCGCTCAAATCAAATTGTTTTGGAACAAAGTTCTAAATGACACCATGCAAAAACATCAATAAATGGAAATAAACCCTTAATAAATATTACATTTGCTGTGTTTTTTTATTTTGCAATGCTCACGAGACGCTAAAGGCAGCACAATGGAATGTTTCAGGAAGTGTATGGAAACCATTTCATATTAGATACCATTTTCCAACCCCAGTTGCATCTTAAACAGGGACCACACGGCTGAAATAATGCTAAGTAGTATGTTAAGATGAAAATGAAAAATGAGTGGATTACATTATTCTGAATGCATCAGTATCACAAAGTCATGCATGAATAATATTCCCACAGTAACTATGTTTAAAATCTGTTAGGTGCCATGTACTCGGAGTTAAACATTAGACTTAACACTGGAAAGTAGAGAGATTTACTACTACTCTGTGTTGAATCATGAAACCTAGGTAGCAACTTGAAACTCCAGTGTACATCTACAGAGAAAACACCTACAGTAGCTGTATATTTGTATGATATATTGTGTATTAGTATTCTATAAGATGCTTTTCACTGATGAAAGGGACGGATGTTGGTGTTTAGCAGGGTAATTCCTAGCTCACTGCGGGCATGCACATCTAGAGAAAGACGCCTGAAGTAGCTGTATACTTGTGGTAGCATATCTGAATTCAGCTGAAGTTTTGTAGTGATTTTCAGTGATGGAAGAGACGAATGTTGGTGTGTACCAGGGTAATTCCCAGCTCATTGCAGGCCTTGACAACCACTTCATCAGCAGTAGAGCCAGACGGAGCAGCGATATACTCCACACCGCTCTAAAACCAAGCACACACAGAAGAGAGTCAGTGTTTTCATCTTAAAGGGAGAGTTCACCTTAAAATGTGTATTCTAATAGGAAACAGCGCCCTCCAGAGGACACATCTGAGTGACAAAATAAAATCATCCACATGGCCATAGTGAAGTGTTGCTCTAAAACAAAGTGCTCAAAACTAGCCCCTTCGAGGATATGAAAGCATTTGAAAAATATAAATGTACACTTCAGGCCATGATCCTTGGAGCAGGGAAGCTTTTGGTTTCACACACAGTTCTAAATTAGCAAAGGTTCCTTCCTATTCCTTAATCCCTTCAGAAGAACCCTTCAAAGTGATTAGGGAATAGGGATGAGCCCTTCCGAATAGAACCCTGTGACAGTCCCTGCAGTAGCCATTGACTTCGATAGTATTATATTGTTGGAACCCTCGTCTAAAACTAGCACATGACCATGCACTTTTCTGGCCATCTGGGTATTCGAAAACCATACAATTACGAGTTGTGATATTTTATCTGGCCTAGTCTGATGTGGTTAACTACTGCTGTTCAAGTCATGTCTGTCAACTAGCCAGTAAACCGAACCAAATTATTTCTCCCTCTGCACCTTTTTTCAACACCTGAGTTATTGATTTTGTGGGACCAATGCCAAAATCTAAATCTCATAAGCTGTCCTGATACACAGTATCAGAGCGAAAGCAATCATTAAATTTAGCTTCACATTCGGTTTAAAAAAAGTGGGGGCTCGTCCGGGATTTGAACCCAGGACCTCTAGCATAAATAGCTATATTCCAAACCAGTGGTTCTTAAACTCAGTCCTGAAGGTCCGGTGTCCTGCAGATTTTAGCTCCATCTTGCCTCAACACACCTGCAAGGATGTTTCTAGAAAGCTCAGTAAGAGCTTGATTAGCTAGCCCAGGTGTGTCTGATTGGGGTTGGAGCTAAAACCTGCAGGACAAAGGACCTTCAGGACAGAGATTGAGAACCCCTGTTCTAAACTATTGATGTCAATGGATACCAGTTACCAACATTCTTCAAAATATCTTATTTTGTGATCAATAGAAACTTTGGAACAACCTGAGAATGAGTAAGTAGAGTACTTTTTATGTTCAGGTGTACTATGCCTTTAAGAATACATGTACAGAATGAACAACAAACCTTTTTAATGCTACAAGGAATGATAACAGTGTGCATAAAACAGCATGGATAAGATGCATGAATAAGAAGTAATGACAGTTTGGTGACCCTTTAAAAGTCTTTACCTGTTTGGCACGGTCAACATTGTCCCTAAAGGGGAAGAAAGCATCAGAGCTGAGGGCCACAGCCTGCAGAGAACTGATCCAATTCTTCTTCTCCACCTCTGACAGAGGCTCAGGAACCTCCTCAAAAAGACCCTTCCAGACCTCTTTATCTGGTCCCTAACATACAAACAAATATAGATTTATTAGCTTATCATCAGAAGGACACAATGGTGCAAAAAAATTAAATAAATAAAAAAAGGACTCGCAAACTTAAATTAAAAATTGGGATCAATAACAAAAGTTCAGAAGTTGACTAACAAAGTTTTACACAATAAAAAATTATCAAAATCATTAATAAAATTGTAATTTAATTTTTATTTTAATAAATTAAATTGTAATAAACCTAACTGTCATTATGTATTTTAGTAGTGATTTTAGTAACAAAAAAAAATAATTTGCACAAACTTTCAGATCCTCAGTACTTATATATTATTATAATTAATAATGTATATTATTTTAACCAGTAAAGATGATTTAAAAATAAATGCGCTTGGATTATTTGGACCGGGGTTTTATGCAGTAACATTAGTTAATAAATATACTTTATTCAATTATCTGTGAAGTAATATTTTATTGATAAATGCATGCATATAACACACTTAATAACACCTATATATTTTTAATAATAAGAAATGCATACTTTATAAATTTAGACATTTACAGTTACAAAAAAAAAAAAAGATTTAATTGCTAATTATGGCATTAATAATGGTAATTCACAATTAAGGGTCCTTATAAATTTTATTCAAGGATTTAATAATAATTTTTAAAAGTGTAATATTCGTAAACATAATATTTGCATCGAAGCATTTAGTTGAAAATGTTGGGTTTTATAAAATAACTGTTCTTCAAGACCAAATAAGTGTGGAATCCAAAAATTGTACACATTTTTTGTAAATGATGTAAGGGTTAAGCACATCTTGCACCCAAATTGTCATTGCTACTTTTATTTTTTGTTTTATTTATTTTTTCCATTTGAGGTGAAAATGATCCACACATTTCTCGTCTGTTTCTGAGAGATAGATCCACAACTGTTACAATTTACTACATTCACAAAATGTCTACATCATGTCTAGACATTGTAGTTTTTGTTGCTACTTATGAAAGCATGGTTGTAGACAATCCTGAAGCAGCTAAATAGTTCAATATATCCCTGTATGACTAGTACAAATGACCAATGTTTAAATAGACTACCTCTCCAACTGTGCCGCTGACATACAGATCAATAGCATTAGCCATCTCTGCACGCTTCACTCCGCCGCGGAACCTCATACTGAGCACTCCTGGATGGTGCCTGAGCCACCAGTTATCAGCCTTGTCTCCTGCCAGCCGGGTGCAGTGGATACGAGACTGCTGCCCAGCTCCGATGCCAATCACCTAACAAACACACACCAGACAACAAATATTTTTATACTGAATTTCCTTTATATATATAAAATGTATAAACTTTTGTTTACCTGCCCATCCTTAGCATAACACACAGAGTTAGACTGGGTGTACTTTACAGCGATGGAGGCAACGATGAGGTCTCGCAGAGCACTCTCAGAGAGCTTTAACACAAAAATCACATCAACTGTGTTAGAAGATCCTTCACATTAACACAAAAAGAGTATTTCAACAGTCCAATCAAATCCCAGTGACTAAACCAGGGTTTCTGCAGATATTATAATGTCAAATTGATGACTTTTTAGGACCATTAAGTATTAAATTTAAGACAAAAAGAACACAAAATTAGTGGTAAAATAAATGTATTCAAATTGCACTATACTAAAGACAGCTTAGATGCACTATTGAACTACAGGGAAAAAAAAAAAAAACATCTTAAAGCTGATTTATACTTTCGCCTGGCGCCACATCGCGCACCTCACGAAACAGACAAGGCTTTTATACTTGACTCGTTCACCATGGAGATATTCTTTTAAATGACAGGGGGCGGTCAGAAGAAACACAGTTAAATCAGACGGATAAACAGAGAAGTAGAAAGCTTCTGGAACTAGGTCATATCATTAATATCATTCAAGATAATTGTTTTTAATTATTTTTATAATTTATTATAAAGATTTTTATAACCATTTAAAATTTATTAAATAATTTTTTTTTTAAATCTAAATGATGCATCACTTGCTTTTGTTCACACCTCAGACAGTTCTACCCATTAAAGTTAAATATTAAATGGCAACAGATCTTGGGTTGCTCTACAATTAGATTTTTAGTATGGCAAGAATACAAACAGAAAAGTAGTACACTTACTAAAAATACTGACTTTTTTTAATTTTGCCCACTCAACTCATTTAGTTATCATCAATAAAGCCTAGAAATTGGGCATCAATATATTGTAAACTGATAGGTTCATGTATTTATTTCCAGTTACATTTGAAGTCAGAATTATTACCCCCTGTTTATTTTTCCCCAATTTAATGGAAAGCAGATTTTCTCAACACATTTCTAAACATAATAGTTTTAATAATTCATCTCTAATAACTGATTTATTTTATCTTTGCCATGATGACAGTAAATAATATTTGACTAGATATTTTTCAAGACACTTCTATACAGCTTAAAGTCACATTTAAAGGCTTAACTTGGTTAATTAGGGTAACTAGGCAGGTTAGGGTAATAAGGCAAGGTATTGTATAACGATGGTTTGTTCTGTAGACTATTGAAAAATATTTAGCTTAAAGGGGCTAATAATTGTGTCTTTAACATGGTGTTTAAAAAAATTAATTAACTGCTTTTATTCTAACTGAAATAAAACAAAAAAGAATTTATCCAGAAGAAAAAATATTATCAGATCAGTAGCTCGTTTGCATTAAAAGAGACAACGAAAAATTGTGATCTTCAACCTAAAGAGTGTCATTTATAGCATGGTATAAAGTGATCTTTAAGGTATTTTGAGCCCAAACTACAAACACTTTTGCGGGGACACCATAGGAAAACTTTATAATGAAAATGTAACATTGGTAGTTGCTTTTCTTACCTTTCCCTTTGACACAATGTTGCTGAAGAGCTCTTTATCAATGACTGCTCCATTCCTCTTCTGTTTGAGATGTAAACCAAACAGCACCCTCACCTCTTCCTCATCAGGTTCATATTCAGGATCCATCTAAAAAAATTAATTAATTAATTAATTAAATGGATAAATACCACAAAGGGTTACAGTCATGTTTAAGGACATGGACTTCAGGATAATTCTGAGACTTTAAAGGGGAAAAAAAAAGAAAAAATAATAATAATATTAATCTATACGTTTCAAAGTCTCATCATTAAAATTTAGTAACACTTATTTTGAAGAGACTGCATTAAATTGACATTACAGACTCTGTTGTTGAACATTTTATTTTAAAAAAAAGAATCTTTTATCTTTTACAATTTTAAAAATGTGAACTCACCAAAAATAAAGCTGTTTGCAACATCAATTATAAAATCAAATCAGCAAATTAGAATATCTGAACAATCATTTGACACTGAAAACTCAGCGATCAAAATAAACATTCAGACAAAGATCAAATCCTCCATCTCTTCAATCAATCCACAAGCATGCGCCAACCTTAAGAACACAATAGTTTCCATTCTTCTTTTTGGACAGAATTCGCAGCGCATCCTCTTCATAACCAGGAGCAACAATACCATCAGACACCTACAGAAAAATGAGCAAAGTGCTGCATAAAATTATTAAACTTTTGACCTTCAGAAAAGATTTTTATAAAGAAATGTAAATGTCAGAAATATAAATGTAAATTAATAACTTCAAATGCAATACCATAATACAATGTATTTATTTAATACCATGTCAGCAACCAAGGCAATTTTCATGAACATTTGAATAATATATATACAAATAAATAAAAAAAATAAAAAATTTTTAGTGCCAATACATAATAAAAATTCTAAAATGTGTTCTTGGTGTCACTTGCTAAAAATGTACAATACCATATAGTATTACCAATGACAAACATTTTTTAACTATCTAAATAATATACGCTGACCACAGGGTTGAGGTCTACATTATGACCAAAGAAATCCTTACGCCCCATTCACACGAGGCGTCAGCTTCAACGCTTCCCATTCACTTTGAATGGGTGACGTCAGGCATTGCCGAACTGCATTGTGGATCTGTCGGCGCTGCTTCAGAGACGTTGCTCGCTGCAGAAGTTGGGACTTAACGTTTCAATCGCCGACGGAAGCGTCAGCCAATCAGATCGCTGTATGCAAATACACCAGCTCATACAGTGGTCTATTGCGGACTAATTTCATTGGCTGATGCTGCTATGACGATCACGTCAGCCCCAACTTCAGACTCGCCATCTGTCAAGCGATGACGCTGAAGCCCCATTAGTCTCATATTGCTCTTGATATTGTAATGTTTATTAATGTAATGATACTTAGAGTTATTTTGTGTTTGGATTAACGCTACATTATAATCAGATTTTAAAGCATTTGTTCATTTTAGTGACACTTGCTTTATGAGAATACGAACTCTTCAATGTGACCTAAATGTAAACTGACCTCTCTGGAGATGATCTTGGCAGTGGGAACATCACAGACATCAGACAAAGCGATGAAGTCTCCAAAAGAGGACATTCTGTCAGATCCTACAAAACATTATGCAGTTTTTTTTAAGCCTAAACATGCTAAAAAGTAAGAGTAATGCCTGTTGATTGATATGTCTCAGTACTAATCACAGAAAATGAAGTGTGGAGCGATGTTTGACCTCTGGCTCTGGCGTACGCAGTGGCGAGAGGAGTGAGATCCTGCAGCATGTCATTCACCATACACACTTTGGCCTCGTCTTCACTCAACGGGACGCCGACAGCAGCTCCTGAAAGCATTTATTTCAGAAGTGTCTTACTTTCTGCAAGACATAAATTGAGGCCTGCACATTCCAAACTTAATGCAATCACACCTTTGGTCAATCACATTTACCCCCAAAACGTTTGTCCGTCAAAAAATACACATTTTTTATTTTGAGTTTTTCAAAGCAAGTATTTGGAGATGTATTTTGACAATTCAGACCCACTGTATAAGCCACAGAGGTCAAAGCCAGTTCCTAGGCTCGCAGCTCTGCACAGTTCAGTTTCAATCCTACTTCAACACACTTACCTGTAGGCAGTGTTGGGCAAGCTACTTAAACTGTAGTGAGCTAAGCTATTAGCTACTCTACTTAAAATGTAGCTTAACTACACTAAAAGCTACCCTATTGGAAATTTAGCAAGCTAAGCTAAAAGCTACATGGCAAAAGTACCTACATCTACCTATATCTAAGCTATTTTTGCAATTTTAATTTTTACGTCAAAGTATCATGAAACATGAGGCAGAATGAGTACAAGCTGGAGGGACTGTGTCTCTCAGCTGGCCAGGGAACCTCGGGATCCCCCGGGAGGAGCTGGAGGAAGTGTCTGGGGAGAAGGAAGTCTGGAGTTCTCTCCTGAGACTGCTGCCCCCACGACCCGGCCCCGGATAAGCGTATGAAAATGACATGACATCGAAAGCTTGACAAACAGTTTTGGAGAATTTGATGTTTTCCCATACAGACAGAATGCCTGAGCATACTGCCCGAGTTTCAAAGATGGCCACCGAGTTAAATTACTTGTCTTAAAGGGACTTTGTATCTCATATTGGACATGTATTTGCAAAATAATCTGACAATGGGAACATTAAACCCACATGTCTAATCAGCTGTTTCTATTATGCTTACCTTGTTTACTGCTGGTTGCTAGGTTACCAATTCTACACTAAGCTGCTCTAACAACTTGATGGAAACGCACTTAATTCTCACCTACTTTTGAGAAAGATTTGCTTCAATTTAGGATGGACACCCGGACACTGGCTGTTTTTAAGAAAGATCAACAGATAAACATTGAAAACATCTATGACGGCAACCAGAATCAAATGCAAGGATGTATACAAAAAAATAAAAATAAATAAATAAAAAAAAAAAAGAGTCTTAATGTGGATGAACACTAAAGCCTCCTTTTCACACGGCAAATGACAAGCGACAGATCGGAAGTCATTTATTTTCAATGGAGAGCAGTCCGGGAGCTGCATTGAGTTCCGATCATCTCCGTATGCGGAAAATTCGGATCTGAATTGAGCTGCGGATCCGTTGAAATATTTGAACTCGTGCGACTAGACCGTATGCGACCTGCCGACCGGATATGATGTATTCCAGTGTTGTCCAATCAGATCCGTGCGCGCGAGATGAAAAATAGGAGTTTATTTGGTTATTTTTTTTAATTATAAAAAGTCTATATTAAAAAAAAAAAAACTTTTCTGTTCATAAATGTAAGTAAGAAAGTAATAAAAATATATTTTTTTTAATGCCGTCACATTCCCTCCAATATTTTAGCGGTCTATGAGTTTCTAGTATTCATTCATCCATTAAACTATGTAAACGCACAGAGAATAAAGGCTCTTGCTTTTGCCCTCCTTTATTTCGGACACCGTGAGAATCAGCTCCCCCGTGGTGCACGACAACACTGAAAATACTGTGCGGCTGCCACAAGAGGGCGTATTCAGACAGTCGTGTCCAAATGTGTGTGCAATGGAAAGGCGGCTTTATGATGATCCTTGGAGCATGTTTGTGTTCATACCTGCAGGACTGACGTGTTTAAATGAAGTGGCGGCTGGCAAACCGAGAGCCTTCCTCAACTCTCTGACCAGCTGCCAGGCGTTCAGAGCATCACACAGATTAATGAAGCCAGGAGATCCATTCAGCACTGAAACAAACATTCAAATTAATATGGCATTCATGGTTGAATAGCTCTCTGATGTGTGGCCATATTTACCTGTGAGCGGAAGTGCTGGTCGTGTAGTGTAGAGCTGAGCTGGTGCTTGATGTGGGTTCATCCCGTAACGCAGAGGAAGCTGGGAAACTCCTCGACTGTATTCACGTCTGAAGTAATCAGAGATGGCCTCGTCGTACTGAGCGGTGTGCGTGAAGGCCTGACGAATTACAAATACAAATTCATACACTAAAAAAAATTATTTATAAGTAACTGGACTGAATTTAGAGCTCTAAATAAATAAAAATAAAACAATAAATGAGTTCACTAATGACGATACAGTGGATGTCTAGAGTAGTATTTCCCCAACCCTGTTCCTGGAGACACACCAACAGTACAAATTTTGGATGTCATCCTCATCTGACCCATTAACTTCCGGTTTTGGAGACTCTTCTAATGTTCTGATGAGTTGATTCCGGAGTGTTTGATAAGGAAGAGGTTGAAGATGTGTACTGTTGGTGTGCCTTCAGGAACAGGGTTGGGAAACACTGGTCTAGAGAGACGGGTGACTAATACAAAGAAGAGAAACACTTAGGGCCCCATCATACACCCGGCGCAGTGTGGCGCAACGCGCGGCGCAATACTTGTTTGCTTGTTTCAGCTTGGCGCAAAAGTCGTTTTGAGGCGTTGCGCCACGCTCTTTAAATAGCAAATGCACTTGCGCTCATATGTGCGCCCATAGGCGTTCTGGTCAAAAAAGAAAGGCGTTCTGAGGCGGACTGCTGGCGCGTCGCTATTTTAAGAAACTATAATGGATTTTTCATTAGACCAAAACAAACCCGGTCTAAACTCCAGCGCAGAGTTGCGCCTCGCTTACACACTGCTTAATAGCCTACACACAAAATAAGCAAATATCTTTACATATGAAAAATTTAAATATGAAGAATATATATATAGGATATAATAATAATAATAATAATAATAATAATAATAATAACATATATAGGATATAAATGTAAAGGATTAAAATATTACAAAACCTTATTTTCTAGCCTACATAAATATGAAAAACCATTGCTTTTATGCCTTCATCTGTATAATGTTATTATTTTTAGCAGTATTATTTATGCATATTTATATTTGTTTTATTAAAAACAAGCTTAGATTTGCCCTACTGCAGGTTTTAGACCATATAGGGCACTGCATGTGTTTTAGGATATAACTCAGTTTTTTTTAAACATACTTCGCTATTATTGGTTATTTATTCGTTTGCTGGATATTAGAACTGAATTAAGAAATAGTTTTGAAACAAATCTTTGCGCTTAACAAACTAAATTAATTATTTATAGACTAATTGATGCCTGTGCATAAAGGTTTCCTTATCCAAGAGAGCGAAAGTGAAAGTAGATTGATTATCTCTCATTCTCAGCAGTAGATGCTCTGTTTAACTGTTTTGTTTAAAAAAAACTGTTAACTGTTTGCTAGTGAAATGCTCAGTTTTTCCACTTCCACTTACTTTACGTCCTGTAAACAGCAAATGCTCTTATGGCGCAACAAAGGGGGCTCTTAAAGGGAATGGGAGATGAGACTCTGATTGGTTTATTCTCAAAACACACCTATAACTCATCAAGAAAATAAACTCAACCCTTTTAGACCATGCGCCACGGCGCAAAGCGGATTTTCCCGTCCTTAAGTTAGCAAGTATAGATTCTGTCACGCCCTGAAAGCGTTTGCGCCCTGCGCTTTCCATTTTGCGCATGGACCGTCAAAATAGAGCCCTCTATATTCATGACATGAATCCTGAATAAAATGTTAAAAGCGCAATCGTTAGCATTAATAACATCTTCAAATGTTTCTTGCTAAGGTCGCTGGTTTGAGTCCCGGTTGGGTCAGTTGGCACTTCTGCATGTTTGCATGTTCTCCACATGTTGGCCTGGGTTTTCTTGCGCTATAGGTGAATTGAATAAACTAAAATTGGCCGTAGTGTATAAGTGTGAATGAGAGTGTATGAGTGTTTTCCAGTACTACGTTGCAGCTGGAAGGACATCAGCTGTGTAACAATCAATGCTCCAAAGCCTGAACTTTGACTGCAGCCGCCTTTCTCTACAGCAAATATTTGAGACATGCCGTTGCAACAGCAGAAATTCTTGCAGAAATCGCAGTCAGGAGTTTATCAAGACAGTTAAACATGCGAATCAATGAACGCAATCACATTCAGACGCATGAAGCAGACGTGAATGAACCTATTGCTCAATGCTAACAGCAAACCTTTGAGCAAGTCTGAACATGGTTTACCACAAAACTCAGAACTCAGTAATGCAGGATATGCTCATGCGTGGCTATGCATCTGAAGAAACTCTCTCAATCTCTGAATGTCTCCTGAATTTTATGTTAAGAGGCCTAAAATAAAAGTATTTACTGCATTCAGCTCACATCAGATGATTTTGGGGCCCTAAGCAATTCCAGCCAAATGGCCTGAAAGTCCTAATCTACACCCTTTGTATTTATTAGTTTCTTTCGCTGACTTTTTCTTGTATAACTTTTTCGTACATTTACAAAAAAATACAAATGAAAACAACTAAAAACAACAAATAAATCATTTCGTTTTTAAAACTAAATCTTCATCTAATTTGACTGCTGAACTGCTCCATTATTCAGAGGTGGGGGACAAATTTGCACAGATGTAATAATTATGATAAATTATTTTATTAGACCCCAGACTTTACTAAATATGAGGAAACAATGTTGGTTTATTCATATTCATTTATTTATTTATAAAATAAAATGTATACTTCTAGCTATTTATTAGGGAACTCCAAATTTCTTGAGAAATTTGGCCCCAAGCGGCCGCTTGCCTCACTTATTAAACTCGCCTTTGGATCAAAGAGTTTCACATGTGCACAAAGGTTAGTGGGTCAATAATCCCCACGCGTTTACCTTGAGCGCGAGAGTTTTGCGGGTTTCCATTGTGGTGTCGTGGATTTCAGAGGTCTCCATTTCCTTGGCCACAACATTGTAGTCGGATGGATCGCAGACGACGGTGACTCTAGCGTGATTCTTAGCTGCCGCTCGAAGAAGCGTAACACCACCTAAAGAGGATTATGGGAATAATGGTGAAACATGTCAACTGGAGAACCTCACAAAGGTAGTCAAGACATGTTTGAAGTACAGATGAAATTAAAACTAACCATATGATTTTGTGAGCTCACAATGCTAGTTTTGCGGTGAACATTTCAATTGTGCGTGTCATTAAGGAGAAAAAAAAATACTTTGCCCTTGTAATCTAAAATCAAAATCTGAAAATGTACTTCCTGTTTGTTTTCAGAATAGGTTAGTCTAAGGTATTGGGTGTGGCTAAAAAACTTAACCACACCCCTCCAACTGTTTTGACAACAAACAGAAATGTCGAGGGGGAGGTGTCTGTTAGCTTGTAACTCGAAACCCGAAACTCTTATCGTGATGTTTCTGAATGACATGCCTACTTTACTACATTCAATCAGCTCGCAGCAAAAAAATAAATTAACAGGCCACGCCCTCTGTTTTCTTCATTTAATAATCTGTTTCTCTAGAAACTGAATCACAATACACAAGAAAAACAGTCACAGCTTCCAGTTCAAGCGGACTTTAAATGGAAATTTATTTAGATTTAAAACCAAATCTTTCTCCAATGAAAATGATGCTGTTTAGAAACACAATTAATGATTTTTTGCACTTTTTTAATCATTAACTAAATAAATCCCAAATAAAACGAGCTTAACATTTATTGAATATTATAATAAATAATTAATTGAACTACAATTGAAACATGCAGTAAAAAAACAGCATGATATACAAAAAACCCTACAAAGATGGCTTGTCTCAGATTGTTGTCTTGAGTTTGAGCATAAATAGAAATTTGCTTTGTTTTACAGTGTCCTTGCAATTAATATAGTAGTCACAGTAAAATTGTAATAATTAAATGGAATAACCTTAAACCAAACTCTAATCCTGTAGGCCCACCCGGAATCTGCGCGCGCAGAATTCCACAGATTTCCGCAGATTTTCAGCCCATCATTAATTCTGTTGAGTAAATGTGTGTAAATCTATATTTATTCAGTTTTTTTTTATTAATTTCAGTAATATTATTGACTTATATGAAAATGTTCATCTGATTTATATACAATGCAGTTTGTGCAGTAATATTTTCTGTCTTACTAGATATATTATATGAGAGACTTGCTTTGTTTACCAAATAAAGTGAACCTATTTGAATTTGCATTTTAAACATGAAATAAAAGTTAAAGACATTTTTTATTTCACATATTAAGGTTTTAGTTATGATACTCCCAAAATAATTCTGCAGAAATCCGCAGATTTTTACCAAAATTCTTTGCAGAAATAGCAAAAAATGTCGGTAGATTCCGTCTGGCCCTACCTATACCTAATCATTTTTAACTGAATAATTACATGGATTTTTATACCTAAACGCACAATTACACTATAACATGTACATTAAAACAAAGTGTAATACACAAGATATTACTAAAACATTTAAAGAAATTAATTACTATATCTTAAACATTAATCTTGTTAAATATTAAATTACAGGTCATTTCTGAACCATTGGTCCCAATGCTAAGTCACGATGGAAATTTAAGATAAGATGGCACAAAGAGGCTATAGCATCTGAACTCTTCATTGGTAATTACAGTTGATCATCCTTTAAAACTTAACCCACCCTTAAACCTATCCATACCACCATACCCAACCCCACTAATATCCCATCTCAGGAGCACCAGAAGTGTTCTGCAATACAATTTCTGAATAGAAAATGCACTATATTTATATTTATGCAAGCACGTAGTAGTTAAGGGCACCTAATATAAAGTAGGACAGAACCATTAATCAAACCCGTATGGAGATTTAACAGTATACAGACCGATGTCAATCTGCTCAACAGCGTCTTCCACAGTCACACCAGGGGATGAAACGGTCTTCACAAACGGGTAAAGGTTGCACACGGCCACTCTTGAAGAACGGAAATAATAAATACTTTACTGTTACTGATGCAACTGTACAAATTAAACTTACTACTTACATAAAATTATCTATACTGCAAGCTTTGCAATACTACATAAAGACTACTATAGTTCACAGTGCTCATGTGACTATCAGCAAACCAAACTTCATTCTGATTGGCTGAGAAAGTGAGATCAAAGAGGATGTGGTCACAGCACAGCAGCACTATTTTAATTATCAGTCAATAGATTACCAATGCAGAGTCTGTACATCTAACAAAAAACCAATTGAGAGCATGTTAGCACCACAAAATCTGATTAGATCCCGTCACAAGACAATCACTCGTGAAATAACATGACCTCAATTTAGAAACCAAAGCATAAAGCATTACCTGACAAGACTAAACCCAAGTTTTTCCATATCAGCATTATCAGATGGAGTTTGTCTGGCCAAAATACCACCGTGGACAGCTGGATGAAGGGTTTTAACTCTGCCTCCGAGCATCTCAGGGAATCCAGTGATCTCGGATACATCCCTGTAGCAGAAATCAGATATCTAATTAAAATCAATGGTGATAGACTGGAGTAATGATGCTGAAAATTCAGCTTTGCAACAAAGGATTAAATAGTACCATAACATATAATGAAATGGAAAACACTTATATTAAATAGTAGGGATGTAACAATATTGTAAATACCGTCATACCGCAAAAGCAATTTCTTTCAATATTACCGTAATTGTGACTATTTTTATGATAAAGGAAAAGCAAGGCAAGGCAAGTTTATTTATTTAGCACATTTCATACACAGTGGCAATTCAAAGTGCTTTACATCTAAATCTATTTACACTAAAATCATCTATTTACACTAAAATCATAGGTCTTTTGGTGAAAAGTTTGCTCAGGCGAATGGAGCGAATGGAAGGTAGCGGAAACTACAATTTTCATCAGCCCAGGCGTGGCCATCATCCTTTGCGGTCTGTTGTCGCTACAGATCCAGTAATGCAGAATGCTGCTAGTAGCGGCAAAGAAAAAGAGCTAAAAATGGTCGAACCTAAAGCGGGTTTTAAATCAGATGTGTGGAAGCATTTCAGTTTCTCTCTGAAAAGAAACAAGAAGAAAAGGTGACAGAGAAAAGGGTATGCAGGCACTGCCAGACTGTGCTGAAATACAAGTCGGGGAATACGACTAACATGATGGGGATTCTTTTAGTCAAGGGGACAGCAGAACACAGCACACTGCACAGATTGATGGAGACACTGACTTGTACCACCAAGAGACCTCTATCTCACTCATGGCTTGTCCTTTCGAGTGGTGTTTTTTTTTTACTTGGTTTAATATTTTTTATTAAAATTGAATAATTTACGTTCCTGTTTGAAAGTTTACAGATAGATAATTTGTATGTCATTGATCTGTTCAGTGTTAAGGAACCTGAACATTCTAGCACTTTTTTTGAGTCTCTTCAATAGTTTTGTTTTTCCTTTAAATGATTCAATAAATACCGTACCGTGCCGTGCCATTCATACAGAGGTATTACCGTATCATGAAATTTTGATACCGTTACATCCCTATTAAATAGTAATACTATTTAACAATATTAACTCATATTTCGGTTACATTTATTGCCGTGAAATATTTAAACACAAATAGTTATCATAAACTTATAAAAGTTTGTGACATTATACTCAAAACTGAACTTTTACATAACTTATAACAGTTATGTTTCCAATAATGCATTTTGGGATACTGCTGTAAAAAGTGGGTGGAAATACCGGAAGGAAATCCCAAGATGTGAATAGAACCAAAGTGTGAAAAAAAAAACCTGATTTACCGCAGTGTTTCCGCAGATTTCATCAAGTCAAATTCAAGACATTATGAATACAAATTCAGACTTTTGAAGGTTTTTAAAAATATATATATTTTAGTAGTCATCAGGCTTAAACAAATGTTAAAGGAAGATAATTGAACCATAAAAAAAAAGACTAGTCCTGCACAATATATTGTTTCTGCATCGATATCGCAATGCGTATGTCCGCAATAGTCACATCCCAAGATATGAAATGTTGAGCTGGGATTAGAGTTGATCAACAATTAAGAATACATGAAATTTGTGGAGTCATTGCGAAGTATAACCATAACAGAGTAAAACTTAATCATTTGCATGTGTTTTAAAGGCATTTCAACAGAGTTTAAAACATTTGGGCACAAAATAAATACATTTGTAACTTTAATGAAGAATACTTTTACTGAATTAATAGTTTCTGTATCTTAATACTGTTTGACCATAAAGTACTGTTTATTGTACTTTTTTCATTGCTGTATTGCAGTTACTTTTTTTTTAATATACATGATTTACACCCGTACAAAATCACCCCAATTAATCTAAATAAATGATTTCTTTCCAAATAGCACCATATGTTGAAACTAGTGCTGGGTGATATGACGAAAATGTAATGTTGATGTTTATTTTCCATATTGAACGATAACGATATATATTTCGATTTAAGTTGTTTATGCTACCAGATTTAAAAAGGGTGCCCCAACAATGACTGAAGCCACAAAAAAATAAAAATCAGTGCGTCCATTAAATGGCATAACATTTTCGGACTTTTAGATTCCCGTTGTTGCACATTTCTGCTGTGTGACAGGCTCTTAGATCAATATAGAGTAAAAACGTCCAGAGCTTATCATTGTTATTGACATAAATTATCGCGATTCAATATAATACCGTTTATCTAACCAGCCCTAGTTGAAACTATTCATATCATATGTACCAGGAAAACAAAATATCGCAATGTCAGATTATTTCAATATCATGCAGCCCAAATAGTCATTTAATAAAACTTTTGTTAACAGGATTTACCAAAAGTGTTGTTGTTGATAGGATGAATGTTGGCCAAATTGGATAGCTTTACGTAGATAAAGGAAAACGAAGACATGCAAGTCTTAAATACTTTCAAACAACACAATATTTCAGTAATGTAAGACTTTTTAAGATTAGTTTTTGGAAATTTAAAACTTTTTTAGACTTGAGAACACTCAGACACCTCGCACAATTTATAAATATGTAAATTTCTATAAAAGACACAGTTTTCTTTTTCTGGACATACTGCCTTTTTAGTATTTCGTTTTTTTTAACAAACGATGGCACTGTAAACACATTTGAATGGCATGCAGTAATAAGAGATGCGTGACCTGACTGCAAGTCCAGCATCTCTGAGTGTTTTGGCGGTTCCTCCTGATGCCACTAATGACAGACCCACTGACACCAGACGCCTGGCGAACTCCACCAGTCCAGTCTTATCCGAAACGCTCAGCAATGCTGAAAGAGAAAAATCAATGAGTCAAATCAATTAGACAACCAGAAACTGTCCAAGCTCAGGACAAAGCATGTGACATTTCAACAAATGAAGCAATATGGAGAGTAGTTCAAATTGCATGTGATGATGACTAAACCACATCCATTTTTGTTTTTTGGCACAAAGTAAAACAATGATTGGATCAGGCTACAATACTATAGTCAGTTAATGATGTTTTAATAATTACACAGCGATGGTTTCAGACAGCAAAGTTACTGTGTTGATATGACGGCCCCAGTAAAATAAGCACGTCATGTTTTTTAATGTACATGTGAAATATAATTTCTAAAAGTGACTTTACATACATAGAAAGCGTTTTAAAATCTAAAATATATTAAATGTTGTGCTTTTTAAATAACACTCAAGAAAATATGATAAAATATAAGGGGAATAAACTCCGACTCATTCATGTGGTGTCTTCTGAAAATTAAATGTATTAATAAAAATAAGTACGAGAGTCAATAAGTCAGAAAAAAAACTTAGAAAAGTAAATAAATGCATAAATAAATGAACAAACAGGCCTTATTTCGAAATTCATAAATATGTTTTTGAATGATAGTCCAACCTATTTGTAAGAACACCCTAATATCTTGTACCAAAAATTACATATTTGGTAACTGATATACCTTATTATTTACAAAAATAAGCCTAATTTTAAGACTATAATGCAACATGCTTGAGCCAAATGCAGGGTATTACCATGGTACGTTTGTCTATACAATTAATAGTGGGATATCAGGTCAGCATGTGAATAGGTATCATGCACAAACTCTTTTCTCTACATCTATAAAGTTTATGTAGACAAAATAATCAAAAGACGAAATAAACAAAATAAACGCAATACTGTAGAACTTTGTAACTATAAAGCATTATGTTTGAGCCAAATGCATGGTTTTACCATGGTACGTTTGTCTATCAAAGTAATAGGGTGATATCAGGTCAGTTTGTAAATAAGTACCGCACACAAACTCTTTTCTATGCATCTATAAAGTTTATGTAATGTTAGTAAAGTCTGTGACGAAGCAACATGTCATCATCGTCCTACATCACCCCACAAAACAAACACAGCATACTAGATTTATATGCAAAACACGCAGAAAGTTTAAAAAGTAATACGATTACCTATTTCAGATGCCATGCTGCAGAGAAAGCGGAGGAAATCAGAGATTTGTGCTGGAGCGTCTCGTGAAGCGCGCGGTGTTAATCAAAACACGTGGATGCAATAGTTTTATCCGCGTAGATGCATGATGGGAATTGTAGTTTTTTAATTAAACGACACTCCCACTTCAGGGAAACTTGTTTAAAATCAGTTTTGTCGTAAGTATCCAGCTATAGAAAAGTGATTAAGAGACTTATCTGGATTTACAATTCAGTCATTGAAGTGTTTTTTTTTTTGTAGTAATTATGTTTAATGCTAATTTAAAATAAAAAATGCGATCAAGAGCATTTTTGTTTTCATTAAATAACAAATAATATATATTTTTAGACAAACCCAATATTGGTTTAACTGTTCAATAATTAGTACCCTAATATTCATAAAGAAAATTCTGACACTATCATTTTTTTTAAATTAATGCTTTAAGTGTTTAAAATAATAATTGTATAAATTCATTCATTCGTTTTTCTTCGTCTTAGTTCTTTGTTCTTTATTCATCAGAGGCCACCACAGTGGCAGGAACCGCCAACTTATACAGCATTTGTTTTACACAGCAGATGCCCTACCAGCCGCAACCCGGTATCGGGAAACACCCACTCTCATTCACACACATACAGCCAATTTAGTTTATTAAATTCACCTATAGTGCATGTCTTGGGACTGTGGGCGGAACCGGAGCACCCGGCGGAAACCCACGCAAACTCGGGGAGAACATGCAAACTCCACACAGAAATGAAAACCAAGACTCGAACCAGCGACCTTCTTGCTGTGAGGCGACCGTGCTAACCACTAAGGTACCGTGTTGCCTTAAATAAAAGTTATTAAAATAATTATTAAATTATAAAATAACATTTTAATCAAACCCACACCTAACAAACCCAGGAAAATCAAAGCGAGAATTTTCAACTGGTCTCTTATTACTCTTCATATATTTAAATAGGCTATTTTTAATATTATTCACACTTTATTAAAAATACACTGTTGCAGTTACGTACCGAAACATAAAAGATAGGAGTCATGATGCATGTTCAAACAGATACCACAGAAATATATCAATGAAAGTTGTCATTTACCTTTGCAAACACACCGAAAGATGGCGCCTGTCGCACACCTTGCATTTTCACAACATGAACTCCCAATGCCTTCAGAAGCTCCTCGCTTTGTCCTCTTTGCGTCTTCTTTGAGATCAGCAGAACATTAGAAGTTCTAAAAAAGACTGACATCAATATTTAAATATTGATAAACCTAGCCAAAATATATAACAGTAGGTCTACATTTCATATTAGCTCAGTGGTTAGCACTATCGCCTCATAGCAAGAAGCTCGCCAGTTCGAGTCCCGTCTCAGTTAGCATTTCTGTGTGGAGTTTACATGCTTTCTCCGTGTTGGTGGGTGCTCCGGGTTCCCCCCAGTCCAAACACATGCGCTATAGGTGAATATAATAAACTAAATTGGTCGTATGAGTGTGTGTATGAGTGTGTATGGATGGTTTCCAGTACTGGGTTGCAGCTGGAAGGGCATCCGCTGCGTAAATAATGTGCTGGATAAGTTGGTGGTTCATTCTGCTGTGGCGACCCCAGATGAATAAGGAACTAAGCTGAAGGAAAATGAATGAATGAATATTTAATTAAGTGATAAAATGTTAGAAGAAAGAAACAAACACAAATTATTATTATTATTATTATTATATAATTCCCATTACAATAAATCCAACTTAAACCTGCCTAGGCTGTTTGGCTGGTTTTAGCTGGTTGACCAGCCTGGTTTTAGAGGGGTTTTGGCCATTTCCAGCCTGGTCTTAGCTGGTCAGGCTGGAAAATGACCAGCTAAAACCAGCTTGACCTGCCTGGTTTAAGCTGGACATAGCTGGTTTTGGCTGGACTCCTAGCCTGGTCAAGCTGGTTTTAGCTGGTCATCTCCCAGCCTGACCAGCTAAGACCAAGCTGGAAAAGGCTGGAAACCAAATGGCCAAAACCCCTTTAAAACCAGGCTAGTCAACCAGCTAAAACCAGCCTAGGCTGGTTAAAGCTGGATTTTTCTGTAGAGAAACAATAAAACATATAAGGCTATTTTAGAATTAGGACCAAATTTGGACTATGCGTAGGCCTATAACTGCAGGGGTGAAAGCTAAATAGTTTATGATTTGGTTGTATAGCGAACCAAGTTGTAACTACAAGCTACAGAGGCTTTTTATATTCTCTGAAGAATTTGACTTATTTTTATTGTAGGGATAGGACAGATATATGATGCAAACTTCAAAGGGAAACACTTGGACTATGTGTCATTATTGTGTCTGGTTAAACCCCATGCATGTCATAAAAACGACATAAACAAGGTGATTTTTGTTGAAGTAATCAGAGCGGTCAGACAATTATCTTTGTATGCAATATAATACTTATACACTGACACTTTACAACTAGTGTTTTCCACTGTACAAAAAAAAATTCAACATGTTCTACACAGGCTAATTTAATTAATTTAATTTAATTAATTTAATTAATTTATTAAATATTGCATGTAAAGAAGAAGGATAGCATTTGAAAACAATGTTTAGATAGCATAAAGGCATTTCTGCATGTTCTCATTGTTCAAAATGTCAGTTTTTCTAAATTATTTACCCATATTTTTGGGTATTTATTTTCACAAAGCATTCATTCAATTTCCTTCGGCTTAGTCAGTATATTTATTATGGGGTCAAAACAGCGGAATGAACCGCCAACTTATCCAGTATATGTTTTACACAGCGGATGCCCTTCTAGCTGCAACCCAGTGCTGAGGAACACCCATACACTCTCACATTCGCACACACATACACTGTGAACAATTTGGTTTATTCACCTATACCGCATGTCTTTGAACTGTGGAGAAGCGGAGGAAACCCATGCGAACATGGGAAGAACATGCAAACTCCACACAGAAATGCCAACTGACCCAGCCGGGACTCGAACCAGTGACCTTCTTGCTGTGAGGTGACAGAACTAATCACTAAGCCACCCACAAAGCATATTCATTCATTCATTCATTTTCTTTTCAGCTTAATCACATTATTTAATCAGGGGTCCCCACAGTGGAATGAACCGCCAACTTATCCAGCATATATTTTTCACAGCAGATGCCCTTCCAGTTGCAACCCAGTACTGGGAACTCCACACAGAAATGGCAACTGACCCAGCCAGGACTCGAACCATCAAGCTTCTTGCTGTGAGGTGACAGAGCTAACCACTAAGCCACCATACCACCCTTCACAAAGCATATTCATTCAGTTTTTTTTTTGGCTTAGTCCCTTTATGAATCAGGGGTCGCCACAGCGGAATGACCCGCCAACTTATTCAGCATTTGTTTTACGCAGCGGATGCCCTTCCAGCCGCAACCCATCTCTGGGAAACATACACACTCTTTCACACTCATACAATATACGGACAATTTAGCTAATTCAATTCGCCTATAGCGCATGTCTTTGGACTGTGGGGGAAACCGGAGCACCAAGAGGAAACCCACACCAACACGGGGAGACACAAAGCATATTTATTTTACAAATGAAGGTAGCCTACTTGCATTTAAAATGTCTTTGAACAGAATGGAAATATTATAATATAGGTTGTGGCCTAGTAAAACTACTTTTTAGTTTTGTTTAGTTTTGTTTTAGGACATTTAAATGAGCCCGTCACATCACACGTCAAATTAAAAGTTGGCACCACAGCGCCTCAGCATGTGTGCAAACACTTCATTTACAAAGTGAACATTAAATCCAGAAACCTCTAGCTTAAATTATTCGCCTCGGGTTTTTACAGTAAACTCCGTGTCTTTCTGCCAGCCCTGTAACCGTGTGTTTGGGTTAAAATGCATAATGAGTTCATTAGGGCGCATTCCGGTAATCAAAAAGGGTGTCGTTTTAATTACTGGGCTCATGCCAAGCAAGCGCTCTTACGACTTTTGGAAACCTGTCTTTGTAATTTAATTAAAGTGAACAAATGGCATGCGCAAACTTGGCCCTGGAGGGCAATTAAGACAGAATTGTAAGCAAGTGAAGCCCAACTGGACGATTTGCGCCACCTATGTCAGTTAAGTTGATTGCATCGATTTCATTGATTTGCAACAGCTTCGGGCTAATTTCATCTCCAAAGGTGTGCACTCTATCTCCAAGAGGCTGTGCTTATTTATTTATTTCTCGAGCCGTGCACCTCTGGAGATTTTGCCAAGTGATTAGATGAAAGTGTTTCATCAGGGGCGACGAGAAGTCTCTTTTGCTAAAGGTGTCGTGAGGTTGGGGGAATCAATAACTTTTTATTTGCCTGAGGGTCAGCGCAGGTTGGATGTTATTGATGCTCTTAAATGCATCACAACTCTCTTTAGTCGAAAGCAAAACGCTGAGGTAGGCGGGAAAAAGTAGCACAGACCGGGAAAAAATGACATCTGTTTTGAAATCCACTGCACGCCTTATAAGAGTCCAACACATTAGCTGCTCATGCTAACAGTGTTGATGCTATTATTATTCATTCATTTATTCATTTTCTTTTCGGCTTAGTCCCTTTATTAATCAGGGGTCGCCACAGTGGAATGAACCACCAACTTATCCAGCACATGTGTTTACGCAGCGGATGCCCTTCCAGCTGCAACCCATCTCTGGGAAACATCCATTCACACTCATACACTACGTACAATTTAGCCTACCCAACTCACCTGTACCACATGTCTTTAGACTGTGGGGAAACCCCATGCAAACGCAGAGAAAACATGCAAACTTCACACTGATACGCCAACTGACCCAGCCGAGGCTCGAACCAGCAACCTTCTTTTAAGGTTTTTTTGCGTAAGTATTTTACAGTACTGAAGAATGTCTCTGTCAATGTTTTCAAACTATTATATTTGATTGGCCAAAGTCACACAAGTGCCAATTTCACATCCGTCACATCCGTAACGGAGAGACATCACATCCATAACGAAGCTTTTTCCTCATAAATGAAAAAATATTCAATGAAATAAAACCAGCATGTTTGTTCTATACTGAGCCAACTTTTATCCTTTTG